AAATAGAGTACATTAGACGCAGATCTCAATCAATCAACCCGTGGCAGCACTTGTAAAGTTATGTTTAATCGGGACGATTTTAATCTCGAAATTTTAAAAAATTTTAAATCTCGAAATTCTCATGCATAATTTTTGGCGCGCTTTTTGTCCGTCATATTTATGGAATTATCAAGGCTGCTTCCCTCTAATCAGAGAAATACTTGAAAGAGAGTGTTGAAACAGCTTTGGGCTTCTTTGTGGAAGCCGTGTACAGTACAAACAGGATGACTCCCCTCCCCCACAAAAGAAAACAAAAGTAAGATAAAACGGCCTGACAAACAAAATTGGAAGGCCTGTTATGTTATCCCTAAGACGACTTGAAGGCGAAAGCCCGGGTGGTGGTGCATTAAAGACAGACGCATGATTTACATTGTTTCACGTACTGTTTCTTTTTAGATTCTCTTTTTTCACGACCTCGAGGGCGATTTTAGAGGTACGGAAACAAAAATTGAAATATTCATATTTTGTTCGTAAATGAGTCAATCATGACGGATAATAACCGTAAATGATAATCGCACGTTTGTATTTTGAACGACTGGCTATATTTTTTGTTCCAAACGGTCCACTCGAGCAAGCGCTCGAAGAGAAGCGAACGGAGAGCGCGATGCGTCATGGTATATCCGGCGCAAACAAAAACAGAAAGAAAAGATTCCCCGCATACGTGACGTAGCAAGGCTGGCGTGGTTATGAGCTTTGCCCTTGGTGGCGTTGTCAGCATTGTGTTGCTGTCAGTAGCGTCAGCGCGTTACAACCGAGCCGTTCGAAGTACCCGTGGGGTGACGAGCGTGCGGCTGGCCCAAGGAGCACGTAGCTCCCACAACACTGTCAGCTTAGGGCTGAACGTGGTGGACAAAGCAACTTTTTCCGAGTTTTGAGGGACGGGCTTGCACATGACGTCACTTCCGATGCCCTCCAGAGAAAAGGGGAAGAAGGAGCTCCCCTCTTATCAGGATCCTCCTTTGTGCCTCCCGGATTTGTACAGGCGTCGCTATTCTCCCCCCAGAAGATTATAGGAGATTAATCTGTCAACCAAAATTCTTACAAAAGCAGCTTTCCTCTCCTCCTTTTACTTGGTGTTCAAAAGTATGCGATGCGACGTCAATGCAAGGAGCCTAGAGGGAGAATGGCTGTTTCCGGTTGCACGAACGAGGGTCCGAGAAAGAGGGAAGTCCTTCCTTTCCACCTTCTTGGACCATTCGGTGAAATGCGCGATTTGTGGGCTCAGGAAGAAGGCTAAGAATTGAAACGTTGAAATGTCAAAGAGTGGCGCTGCTCCGAAGGAATCTGCTACGTCTCGACTACGTAGCAGATTCCACAACGTTGCTAGACTACCTCCCAAATAGGCTCCGCATGCAGCCAACAGGTGCACACTGAAAGTCGTTTATTTAGCTTTAAAATTAGTTTTTTTTCTCCTTTTCAACGGAAGACTGGTGTTTTTGAGGTTAGGGTGCAACATGCAACACATTAAAGCTAGGAAATGAGCGCTGAAATTTCGTTTCCCTACCCCTTTAAGGACGACCTCAAGAACTACGTCGAGAATGACGTCATAGAGGTGGACGTTAAAGACTACGTCTAAAACGACTTCTAGGACGACCTCGAGGACAACCTCAAGGACGACGTCAAAGACGACGTCTAGGACGACATCTAGAACGACCTCTAGCGCGATCTACAGGACGACCTCAACGACGGCGTCAATGTCGACGTCCAGGACAAACTCTAGGATGACGTCAAGGTCGTCAGGTCCTTCGAAGAGGGTCCAAATGTGAAGGAGTGTGCGTGCAGAATATTTTTCATGCCTTTCGTGTGGACAGGTTTTCGCTCAAGGACTTTCAAGGTCGACTGAACGATGAAACATATAAGGCTTTCGCCTTGATAAAAACACTCCAAGTCCGATCCTTACACGACGACAGCGAAATTGACGCGCAACGACTGAATCACGAAGAGGAACGTAAATTGCAACCATGACAGACCCCAATACTCCCTAAAGAGCGCTGCCCTGTCCCCGAACAGAACACTTCGCGGTCACGTACGATGACAGATGCCCCCCTCCCTTTCCCCTTCTCTTCTTGGCGTTCCTTACTAGTCTAAGATGCTGACATTTTCCGGTGAAAACCGAATTTCTAAAAGTTAATTCGGCATACTTTTATCGGTGTTTATTGGTCAAAACGGAAAACGCCGAGCCCTACATATAAATAAACATCTGTGGATAAAAATGTATTAAGAGGCTAGGTAAACCGACGCCCTCGTGCCGAGAGACGCCGGAGCACGTGCACTTTGCAAATACACAAAAAACAATGATCGGGCGACAGGCGGTGAAATGACCAAGGTTTCATCAGTCCACACAAGGACCGGCTTGCTCCGCACCAGCGGATCTGAAGGCACAGGCAGCGGAGATGACGAGCCGACAGCGCACGGCGCAGACAGGCACAAGGTCGGGGCAAGCGCAGGAGTCCAAAACTCCAAGCCCGACCGTGGCCGGGGATTGTGTGCGCGTGTTTGGGTGGGGAAGGGGGGGGGGGGGGGGGAGGAAGTGGGTTAAGAGCACGTCTGCGCGTCTGGCGCGTTACAGCAAGGCTGTGTTCCTAAATCTTACTCGAGCAGATCCGAATTACTTCGGCGGTTCATGTCACGCATGTCAAGCGACCACACCCCTAGAACAACCTAAAACGCCGAGTCAAATCAACTACGTTTGGAATGCGGCCCACCACTACTCAAGGCAGCCCAGTCTGTATCAGTGGGTCCGTGGTTTATGAGCCTCTGTTCGACGCGCGCGCCCTGCGCAGGGAAGCAATCTGTCGGTGTTGCGTTGCCGCCTCAGGCACGTTGATATTTTTATTTAAACGGAGAAGTTCGGTTGATTGAGCTTCTGTTCTTAATTTAATTCAGGCTTCTTTCTATTCATGACGTGCGATGCTCATATGAGAATAAAACACCATGGCCTTCGGCACTGATCTTTAGGGCCATAAGCTCCATGAGCAGACGACAGTGTCTCATTTGATCTCCGCTAGATGGAAGCAGGAGCGGCGAGAGTACTGCTGGCGGCGCGCGCGTGCGCAAATATAAGACCTTTTGAGCCTCCGTCGCGTGGGCGCTGCCATCTTGGAATGACGTGACGCGGCCGCCATAAGGTCGCTTCAACTCGTCGCTCCGCTATCCCTTAGCTCCGCGCCTTGGCGAAAGCGTTGCGCTCGCGTTTTTCGTCGCGTTTCACTGCGTCTTTCGCATTATTGTAAATCACCGCCCGATCATGCCATCATTATGTGCCCGACGACATCTGCAGTTAATTCTGTAACATATTTTGACTATTTTCACCGTCGGCGTACCGGATACGTGTGAAAACAGAGGAGGTACCGGAATCAGCGTCAGCGCTGGCGCATATTGAGCCCAATTATTTATGACAACTGAAGTTTGCTCAGTGATAGTGGCGCAATATCCTAAATATGTGAAGTACACTGTATATGCATAGCCACACTTTTCGGATTTAAGGAATGTGACCAAAATACTCAGTATATGAAGCTATGTGTGTTTCCTGAAACCCTGCGGCCTTGTCTTCGTAACAAATTTAAAACGGTTGTTTTTGATTATATAGCATATATACGATATACATGTTTCGAACGTTTAATTCACATTTTATCTGATGCTCGCGATAACCGTGAAGTCCACATCAGGCGTTTCCTTTGTTCACGGCATGACACGTAAATTTGTTAGACGTTCTTAATTATTTTTGCATTATAAACGTTTGCTTGATTTGTTTATTTTTGAAGTTAAAGAAACTGTACACTTCTGTCTGTCCCATGTTTGCAGTAATTAAAGGGTGCTAAGAATTTTAATACGAGGTTTAATTTGTTTATTTAAGTTATTTCAACACAAAAAAACCTGTGGGAAAAAATCTGTCACAGGCAGCTTGAAAGTGCCAAGGGCTCGCAATATGTGATGCCGAAAAGAATCCATCTAAATGGAAATCGCCCGAGTTCAGCATTATTGATCCTAGGTTGCATCAGTTTGAATAGAGACCTGTCTAGACAGGTTCATGAAGATATGCCTAGAATTCGATTTTAGCCAAACGTGCATAATATCACCACTCCCGGGCCCTTTAATTTTATTTGGCAAAGTTTATACAAAGACAAATTTTCAGACTTCAATTGATGGGCCTGTCCCTTATCTCATGTGTCAAGCACATCGTAATCAATTGCCAGTAAAACAAATAGTTAATTTTCTAACTCAAATGGTATGAAATGCTGTTATAAGTACTTTAGCAAGTCAATAGGTAAAGGAATCCTCACCCCCCCCCCCCCTCCCCCTTTTCCGAGCTAGGACGGAGTATAGAATTATATCTCGAGTACTTAATTTCTTTAAAGAAAACACCCCGAGCATATATCACTCATTTCTTAGAATATCCGTGTATTATAGGAGACATTTCGAATCTCTAAGGTTCACAAAAAGTTTGGTGTCCGCGAAAATCGGACACTGAGCAGTGAACTTGCGACTTCGTGTGTTTTTCGCGATTCAGGAGGTTTTTAATCAAATTGGGGGCCTGCATTTTTACTATACATCGACTCATTAGTCTCTTCATTCGTTAATTTTTCTAGAAACTATAGGGTCAGTGGGTACGGCCTTAGACGATGGAAATCCTCCCTGTGCGTCATATATTGTTTTGCCGCCGAACCTGACCGAAATTAACGACGAACATGACCAGATACATCATAAAGTGTTCGTAAAAAAGTTGCGAATATGACTGGAAACCACTTTGTGGTTCTCAAATTGGCTCAGTACCACAGTTTTATTTATTGTGTACTATAACGGCCACATTTGCATCACGAACTTAGGCGAAACTGAACACATAAACACAGCCGCGAGCGCGCTGAAACCGAAACCAACCAAATTGAAACCACTCAATGGCGGCGAATGCGCCAGCGCCCTCTACCCGCCGCTCGGGTAACTACTGAAATGAAAAGGCCTGGAGAAGGAGCCCCGTTGGCCTCGCCGCCACGCCAGCCACGCGAAGGAGGCTGCAAAGCGGCGAAATCTTCGCGGGTTCGCCAGTTTTTTCCTGGCGTCTTTGTTTGGACGAGGATCCGTTCATTACGAGGTGAGTGTTTTTTTTTTATCTTTTTTTTTATCTCCATACTCCGCGCAAGCTAGGTGTGCAAAAGCGACCACGCCGTATGTTGAACCAAATACGTAGTGTTCGCGAGCCCGTTACAGGCCAAAGCAGGGAAGCGGTGTCGAAGAAGAAAGACTTTCGGTCTTCGGAAACGGTGTCGAAGAAGGAAGTCTTTCTTCTTCGACACCGTTTCCCTGCTTTTACCACCGTCTCGGGTTTTCTGCATTCTGATCAACATCCACCAGCTCGCCTGCGCACTCACAGTTTTTTTCCGTTACAGGCGCCCGTTTTAAACATGCTTGGAAGTGTTGCGGTGTTGCGCCAGATACCGTTGAACAACACCGACACTGAGGAAGGCGTGCGGGTAGCGCACGCTGCAGCGTGTTAACTGCGTCTGATTGAGCGCCATGTTATCGAAAGTTGTTTAGCAAAAGAACACGTTTTAGAAAGCGGAGCTTGGTACGCGGCGGTTCTTTGTCGTACAAGCTGTCACACCTCGCACCTCAATTCGGGCTCTCTCGGAACTGTCAAGTAAATGCGGAGGTGTGGTGGTGCGGTGCGGTGCAGTGCGGTGCGGTGCGGGGGATGGACATCACTGCCGCCAAGGGTTCGGCAAGCTCGGCGGCGGAAATGGGTTGTGAGCGGCAGCCAATCTGCGTACGGGCCGCGTGCTATTTCTCCCTGAACCGAACCTGAAGACGTTAGCTTGCCGGTTGTACCGCGCTTGAAAAGTTTCGTGTGATCTATTGTTAGGTCAGTTTAAATTTGTTTTTAAATGTAAATATTTTACTCCTTCAGGAACCCACGGGGGCTGCCATGTCATTCGCCCGAGGTATCCGCTAAAAACAGGTGAGCGCAACAATTACCACCAAACTAATTGTATAAATGCATTTTCCATTGAGGCTTGTATTCGCAAGTTCCAGCTACGGTGTCGCCGCTCAGGCAACTATTTACTGAAGTACAATAAGGATGAATAATTTCACTCGAGCAAGTACGAAGCATAGGCGAGGGAGGTTTATAATGAACGAGAAACGGCACATAACACGATGCTAGTTCGATAAACAGAGGTACCGTGATCTGCTGATCCACCGCGCCGCTGCCGCATCGAATTACGATGCCGAAAGCCACGGGAAGCTCGAAAGCTCAACTGGGATCGACGGCGCTCGACCTGCGTCCGCTCGTCGCCGGATCCGCCGAACAACGCTGCTCGCTTTGCCTGGCTTGAAGCTTCGCACCGTCTCGGCACTGGAGAATGTCTCCTGCACGGTGTCAGCGTGTGTGCGTGTTCGACGGGTGGATGATCCTCAGCGGAGACTACGAGCATACGGTAGCAGTGATCGAAAACGTTGACGGGAAGGGATCGGGCTACTTCAAAACGGTCTTGACACGTGGTTTCGTGTAGACTTTGAAGATTAGGTCTGACAACAAAGGTAGGCTAAATAGGCTTTATTTTGCGTTTTCAAAGTCCAAGTGCACATTCTGTAATATGTGAAGATATTTTTGTGGTTTTGCTGCTAGTATGTAGTTACTGAGCAACAACTATCTGTGCCAGTGGTTTGTAACAAACTTCGCGATTGTTGAATAAATCATGAACCACAACATTTCTGCAACGTTGTTTCATTTAGCATACTGTGCACGTACGTGCTGATGCCTAGTAAAACAGTGTTGGTAAAACGGTCTTGGTGCTCATTTTTGCATTTTTACGCAGTTAGCTGAGCTGCTTTATGAAGCGTTTGATTGTACGCACTAGCGTGTTCATTGGAAAGCAATTGCATGATGCATTGTGTTGAATGCCTCTTCAATCAGGTGCTTTTGCATGTCTTCGTAAAGCCGTTTTTTTTTCCCCTTCTCTGCCAGTGTTAACAAATGGGGACGTCACTAACGATACCTTGCGCAAAACATCCATTCCGAGTTCATGACATCGTATGAGGGAGTCTGCCCATTATTGCTGGCTTTACGTCCTTTTACTCATGTCAGGTTTGGCAGTCGTGTGTCCGATAATCTTTCCAGAGGAATTTATGGTGTGATCGTCTGGTTCAGCAGAATCGTGCGAGTTCGCAGGCGACATGGTTTCGACTAGGTTGGCAGAGTCTGATTTCGTACGAAGCGCGCCTGGCCGGAGCGGGGGCCGAAGCGCGACGCATATAATCCGCCAGAAGCTGGAATCAAATTTCGGGCGCAGAATACAGCGAGCTTGAAGAACACTTCTGCGCTCGTCGCAGGCTGAGACGAGACTTCATCAATCCGCATCGAAATCCTTTTCTATCTTTGCGGGAGGACATTTCTTACGTATTTATAGGCATGAACCCTTCGATAGCAGCATCACAGTTGGTGCTGCTTGAAATGATTCACATCTCTAGCAGGGCAATGATCAGAAGAGAGCAGATTCGACTCACTTTCCACGATACCGACTAATGCTGGAACTTGCGAATACTATACGTTTAAGAACATTTCGATTTGTGTCTGCATACGTGTGCCTAGCATAACAGATAGGACATTTTCCCCGATGTCCTTATGAAAGAGGTAGAATTGTTTTTATTAAAAAAGTTGGTTTCATAATATTTTATAACTATTACTATGAAGTTAATGGTGAATTCAAGTGGTCAATGTCCGGCAAAAGCGTTCGCGTGGTGAGGATCAGCCAAACGCGCGGTGTTCGGGTGGTTGTTCTCCGGCAAGCGCCGGCAACTTTCGGCGCTTTTTTCACGCCGGAAAGTTGCTTCGTCCCAACCTTTCTATTCGCATTAGAACCCCCAGCTGCCCGAGGCCTTTGTCGGCCTTTAAAAAAGCCTTTGCCCAAGAGCCCATCCTCCGCCTCATCCGCATCCCTGTGAGTTCCCCATAGTGGCTGCCGCCTCGGCAGAAGGAGGGGAATCGGTCTATCCTGATATATCTCCCTGTTCACATTCGTAACTTCATATCCGTTCTTAAAGCTCAGTCTCCAAATTGTCCTGTTAGCCTCCAGGACTGCCCTCTTTGTACCTATCTCCTTGTCCCCTGACGTCCGGGACGGTGCACATTACATTGCACACCATCCCAGAGGTTATGGACCTCAACTGTCTCAAGCCCTCCTCAATTTGTGTTGGCAAGCCTCTGTAACGCTGTAACTGCCACAAACAGTCGCATTTGAGGATGTGTAAAAAAATATAAACAAGGAGCGCACAGTTATGTCCGGTGCTATCCCAACGATCGCCTTGCTGCTTTGTAGCCAAGGGTCTACATGCAGACAGATCAAAACAGCAAAATACTTCGCGTGTCAAAACAAGGTTGGCCAAGAAAAAAATATTTTTTTTATTAATTCGGTAAAATTGCCAGCACCTCCAAGTCTTTCGAAAATCCGAAACATGTAAAAAAATGCCTGCGTGCCCATAGATTCCCAGAAAATATGTCACGACATTGCATGCGTAAACCACATTACCTCGTTATGCCCAGATTTAGCAGTTGTGTCAACTTTCAGAACAGTGAATTTAATGAAAGCCAAAGTAAGTATGATGCAGAACTGACACGCCCCTTTTGCAGGTGTTGACAGAATTGTTTGCCTTTTTCTTGCCTTGGCCCTTTGTCTTTTTTTTTTTTTTGCATTATAACAGTTTCACAAGAGACCGTTCAGCATTCAGACCAGCTACCTCTAAACAAATCAATTGAATGACTGGTTCTGCATTTTTGTTTATCTTTACTGCGGAGTACTTATCTAATTCAATCAATTTTTTTTTCAGTGCAATGTACACCTGCAGCATTTGTCATTGCTGCTGTACCAGTTTATCACTCTTTCTGAAGCACGTTACATTGCATAAGAATGCCAGCAACATGCAGATTCAGTGCCCCCTCTCAGGATGCAAGAGGGTATTCAGGAAGATTGGTTCCGTCTATAGCCACCTGTCACGTGACCACAAATACTGGAGTAGATTTGAGGCACCCCTTGCTCTGCTTCACGAGGCTGTTCCACTTGCGTGCAGTGTAGCCACTTGTCTTCAAGTCTGCAGCAATTTGAAGTCACTAATCTGTCATCTGAAAGGTCACATTTTGCAACTGGAGGCGATTACATGCCCTTTCCCTGGATGCACTAGGACCTACAAGAAGAAGTCATCGTTTGAATCTCATATATCACGCTGTCACCGATTTGCAATGCAACAGGCTCACGTAGATGAACAGAGATCTCTCGACAGCTTCGATCATTCTCCTGATCAGGAGGTTGGTGCGTCATGTGATGTGGGGTCTCAATCGAACGGTGACTTTGTGAGAAATCAGAGTCAAGTAATTGATGCTTTTGGGCTCCTGTATCTACGTCTTCTGTCCGAGCATCTGGTGCCATCGTCCACAGTGCAAATTATCAGTGAGGCGTTCTTTGACTTGCAGAACAATAATTTGGAGCAAATGTTATCAGAATTAAGAAGAAAACTGGATTCTGTTGGAATTAGTGACAGCACATCTCAGGAAGTCCTACACCTCTTATCTGACAATGACCAGATACTCAAAGCACACAGCAGCTCAGGTGTGCTACGGTCACCATACGCCCGTAAAGAATACTTCAAGGAGAGGTTCAGTTATGTAGAGCCTGTAGCGATCCTGTTGGGAAAGAACAAGAAAAATCAAGATGCTACGTTTCATTACGTCCCAATAATTGACACTCTCAAGGCATTGCTGTATGATGAGTCAGTTGTCAGTCAGTGTTTGAATCCACTTAGCACGGAAGAGGGCGTACTCCGGGACTTTGTGGATGGAATAGTGCACAAGTCAATTCCCTTGTTTGATCAGCAGTCGGATGCCGTGAAGTTGCTGCTGTTTCAAGATGCATTTGAAGTCGTGAATCCCCTTGGCTCAGCAAAGAAAAAGCACAAGATACTTGCAGTGTACTTCATGCTCGGAAACCTCTACCCATGGAACAGATCACGCATTCACGCAATTCAACTTGTGCTTCTATGTAAAGAGTCCGACTTTGAGTTTTTCGGGCAAGAAAAGGTATTTGCACCACTGCTAGAGGACATCCGGAGGCTTGAAAACGGAAGCTGTCAGCTGAGAGACGGCAAGAACCTGTATGGAGCTGTTGTGGCGATCCTTGGTGACAATCTGGGAAGCCACACAATAGGTGGCTTTGTTGAGAACTTTAGCAAAGCAAAGCACATGTGTCGGTTTTGTTTAACAGAGAAAAAAGATATGTTTGTTGAGTCCAATCTGACTGGCACTTTCGAGCTGAGGAAAAAGTCCAACTATGACAGGTCTCTAACAATTTTGAGTCAAGATGACACGCTCATTGTTCACGAAGGAGTGAAATTTGACTCATTGTTTAATCGCTTGAGGTACTTCCATGTGTGTGCACCGGGCCTGCCACCTTGTCTAGGTCACGATTTGTTTGAGGGTGTTGTGTCTTATGATATTGCATTGTATGTACAATACTTCGTCCACAAGTGCAGGTGGTTCACACTGGAAGAGTTAAACAGAAGCATCTCCTTATTTAATTTCAAGCAAGGAGATGCAAATGATCGCCCCTCGGAAGTGAATTTAAAGCAGAAGCTGAGCGGGCATGCAGTTCAGAACTGGAACATGCTAAGGTTCCTGCCTGTGTTTGTTTTCGGCAAAGTACTAGATCTCGATGATCCTGTGTGGCAGCAGGTGTTGATGCTCTCAGAGATCGTCCAGCTGATCTGCACTCCAGCCATCTCGCTTCCAATGATAATGCGGCTGAAGGACCTGATTGAGGATTATCTTCTAGGGAGACTAGAGCTGTTTCCATTTTGTTCTCTACGACCTAAGCACCACTTTCTTGCGCACTATCCTTACCTCATCATGCAGTTTGGCCCATTAATAAGAGTTTGGACTATGCGCTGTGAAAGCAAGCACGGTTACTTCAGAAAATGCGCGAGAAATTGTCAAAACTTCAAAAATATCACATCCACCCTAGCTGAACGACACCAGCTTCTCCAAGCATACAAGGCATCTGGTTGCCTCTTTCCAACTGCCTATCCTTTCACATCTGCATCAAGACTTCAGTTGAGTCTATACAGTGATGACATTCGAAAGGTCATAAAGGATTTTTTTGGATCTGATGATGATATCTACTACGCCTATAATGCCGAGTACCGAGGACTTGCGTACAGGAGGGACATGATTCTGGTCTTATCACGAGAAGATGATCGGCTGGTGTTTGGTCAGATAATTCTAATTCTGGCAAAAGGCCCTGCGATGTGCTTCCTTGTACGAGTCACCCGGTCGTCCTTGGAACCTTCAATGCAGTTGTATAACCTCTATGATTGTGAATCTGGAAGTTTGAAATGTGTTACTCCAAGCAGCATAATTGACTATGTTCCTCTTGAAGCATACCGGCTGGGCCAAGCACAGCGCCCCATTGTGGTGCTGAAGCATGCAGTTTTGGATTTGATTTAATGATTTCCTTACATTGTCTCTCTTAGATGGAGCTTTCATCGCTTATTGCCGGCTGGCTGCCAAGCCTCCCATCAGAAGATGTGGAAACTGTTGTTTCCAAGCTAGAAGAGTGCGGTGTAGCAACCATGGAGCATCTAAAGTACATTGAGGAGAGCGACCTGGACCTCCTAAACCCAGTGAATAGAAGGATCCTTTTGGAAAGGTTTCGCGAAGTCAGTGTGACAACCAAGGCACCCATACCTGCTGCACAACCTACAGCGAGTGTTCCTCTTCCAAGCACCTCACGTTTCGAGAATTGGAGCGAAGACTTCTCCATTCCATGGGATTCGTTTCCACAGAGGCTTCTGGAAGCATGCTACAAGAATGCAAGGCCAACAAAGTCTGACCTGAACCAAATGGTGAGGCAATTGAGTAACAGAATTATCCAGGAGAGCTTCTCGCCGGGCAGGCGCCACCTGAGGGTAATCGCTTCAAAGATTGTAGCTAAGTATCCGTTGTCATTTCAAGACATGCTGCAAGGCACAGTTATTGGACAAGGCGTTGAAACTTTGCTCTGGAAACTAGAGAATTGTGTAAATAACAAGAAGAGGCCCCTAGCGCAACCTCTTCCAGAAGAGAGCACATCCGACCCTGATGCGTTTCATCAGCCCGCAAAGACAGACCGTCGGGACTCCTACGGATGCGTGGCCTGGAAGCCTGAGCTGCCTCCAGGAGAGACAGCCTACACTCAGGATGAAAAGAGAGAACGTCTGGTAACAGAATATCGCAGGGTATCTCGGGATGATAGACTAGTCAGAAAACTCATGAGTGAGACTTACGCAACCCAGAGGCTACTGATCAACAGCTCCAAGGGGGTAGGCAAGGTGAAAGAGGACTGGCCTTTCCTGTTTGAGGAGCACCATTTTCTCAATCATGCAGAGCTACTGCTCGGATTCAACGTCAGCGAAGTCTTTGATGATAACATGAAAAAGGTTGGAGTACAACTGTACAGGTACGCCTACAGTCAACTGAAGAACGAGGCTGTGAAGAAGTGCCTTAAGGACATTGAGGATGCTAAAAAAACTCTAAAAAATGTGACCCCCGAATATGACAGCACTCCGCTCCTGCTGCTGGCAATCTTCGGTGAAGACATTGAATTGATCTTCAAAAATGTTGAGGTAAGTTTTTGTATTCAATGCCCTTAGTATAACGGTTGCTTTACGTTTTTTAAGCGAAGTAGATCTACAGAAATCTAAAATAGAAGTAAATCATCAAGATGTCACGTGAAAATGGAATAGAAGCACCGCGGGCGGTATTATTAGTCAAAAATGGGTGTGATACACTATTTTTTTTATTCAATCTGTTTACTGTGCGCCACAAACAGCTCTAGGCCTTAGTAGTATGCACACCACGCAACTCGTAAAACAAAGAGCACAGTTACAAAGACATTAAAGATAAAAAACAAATCCAAGTCACTTTTACTGAGTTAAAAATGAATTTCAATTATGTCATCTGTAATTCGAGTTTAACATTTCATGAATAAGATAAAGAAGAGGCTTTGTTGTGCTTTTTCGGAACACAAAAAGAAATGGCGCTAAACGGTGCTTCAGGCGTCTGCGTTTTCTTGCACTAATCCTCACTACATCCGCTTGAGACGGTGCGTCATTTATCGAATTCACTACCTTGCACAAAAACAACATATAGCAACAACGTGTCAGTTCTTTTCGTGCCAGGGCTTACTCTCTCCGTTAGGTGTGAAGGCGCTGCTAGCCTGAGCTAGCCTCAGGCAGTACCTTTGAATTGTTCAAAATTGTTTGTTTATGTAGAATTCTTGAAAACATTCAAGTAGCTTGCCCTCTAAATGTGGCAAAAGCAAATTAGACCCAAGTGCTTAGACATAGCACGAGTCATACTAAAAGGACATTAGGTCGTCTATCCTCATTTTTGTTTACTCTTTGTCTTTCAGGAGAATGCCACTGACTCGGATCTGGGTGATATGGACCCAAGCCCGATCATATGTGTTAAAGGTCAGTATGTGCTTTCAAATTCTGGCCCGAAGCATGAAGGTGGACGAGTTCTGTTCTCATACTGCATCAATTGTTATTTATAGGAGCCAACAACTACACAGCAAGCGAGTTCACAATTTGTGTTGACACAGTGCCGGTGATGACCACAAGCAACAGGGCAGGCTCATTCAAGTTGATGTTCCTGCTCTATTTTGTGTTGAACATTTCGTTCCCAGAAGAAGTGGGCCTTACACTTGAATTTATTCAAAGGTAAGTGCTTCATCACCCCTGCTTTTATTGTTAAATTTGATCTGCTTGTCATATGAAAGATGTATCCTTTACACAAAACATAGCTTCCATTGGAAGAACCCCAGTGCCTGCTGATTTCTTACAATGCTTTGATTTTGCATGCTAAGACCTCAAGCTAATGTTTTCATTGTTTCATTTGGATCATTCTAACTACAGAAATTACTTCTCAGGGGCCACAAAGCTGAATGGCATATTCACAACGATATAGTGCATAAAGGAAACTTTTTTTGCACAAATGAGGTCAGTTTTTAAGACAGTTTTATGAGTGATGTTAATCATTTTGTGATGAAAGTCTAACCCCATACATGTCGTGGGAGAAATGATTGCTGTTGTTGAAAACAAAAAAGATGAACTATGTCATTTTTTATCTTGGGCTAGTTGGCTCGAAAATAGCATAGTGTAAACCATAAGTAAGCAATTTTCCAGTCCCGGGAGCCCTAAAATACTGCAATGTGGTCCGGCGACCACCTTCCCTCCTCACGCACAAACACACACGCACGCGCACACATGCAAACATGCGCATGCACACATACACAAACCCATCTCACCTTGCTCATTACACTCATCAGTGGGTGCAGTCTAGTCTCATTTGCACACGACTTCATCAATTGGAATGAAGGGCATTTCAGCTGCACATGGTGAAAGGGAGACCGTTTATACGCCCAGAAAATGCATGGCTTCCACCTCCTGTAAATGTATCGATAGCAGCGTGCTCTCTTTTGTGTTAAGCCCTGATCCGTAATTACTGCACACCTCGTGCAAGAGTTATTGTTTTCAGATGGCAAGGAATATCGTGGACACTATATTGTTTTCATTCTCAATATTAAGCACTCCACCAGAGAAGCTATATATTTTGTGCCTCTGTGCTCTATGCTGTCATTAAATATTCCTGAGAAACGTGCCAAAGAAAACTTGCACGTCCAAGGTAATAGTAAAATATTTTAAAGTCAGTGCCAGTGTCACCATCAGCACTTCAGCTTCACAAGACCCCATGCTCTCACTGTCCACATTCTAGTTTACACTGTGATGCTAGGATGGCGAGAAACAAAGGTAACAGTATGAAGTCTCCACAGCAGCTGAGTTTATTTTCTAGAGAATGACAACTAATATACATTTAAACGACTAAAGGGGGATGGAAGAACAGACGTGCACTTTTAGATTGCACATCTGTAAAATATGAAACAAGCTAGTTGACTGAAACTAGCGAAACAGGATGGAACACTCCAAGTGGTGCTAAAGTGCCCGACAAAACTACCTCTTTGAAGGCTCTATAAGTCGATCGACTGGCAGAGGTTACCATTTTTTTCTACTGATATACGTGAAACATGAAATAGTTGTGTAGACAAACACCTGGAACAAAAACTCCCGAATAAAAGTACCACAAGTGTTCATTGAAATGTAAACATGGCTGATTAACACAGTTACCATGCTTCTCTAGCCAGCATTTTTGTTAAGGCTATTTTAGAGAAATTTTTTTTCTTAAACAAAATGTCTTATTCCTTGGCACGCATTGAACAATTTATTGTTCAGCAAGTCCGGGAGTAGGGTTTTGTTCTCATTTACGTTTACACTGTTTTAATTCTCAAGCAAGCTTTAAACAAAAAGGGATCACTCTAAGCGATTGAAACGAACTGTATTTGTCAGCAGGCATCTTGCAAAAGAGAGTATTGTTTTGTTGAGCCTGATAAAACTAATTCATTGAAACTAATTGATTAAATATTGATTTAAGGGCAAAAGTGTCAATTGGGAGCTTGTAGAGAGCTTTAAAGAGGCCTCGATGGAGGTGCTTGCATTATATCACACTTTGCCTGGTTCTTTTCTCCAGCCTTCAAAAAACGCCCACAAAATGCCAAGAATACCACATGACATCGCACTCCCCTAATCGCAGCGCACGCTTGTGCTGCGAGTGGGCGTTTTTTTTTGGGGGGTTGGATAAAAGAAGCACTCAAGGTGCACCACATTGCAAACTCCTCCATTGGGTGTTTATTCAGGCTCTCTACAACATTCCAATCGACACCTTTAATTTCCTTTAAATATTTACAGAACAAGGTTATTAGTCGTAATTATTTAATTAGGCACAATAAAAAAAGATATTGGCCCTGGCAAGACGTGTGCTAAGAAATGCAGTTGGTTCCATTCGCCTGTAATGCTCCGCTTTTTTTTAAGCTTGGTTCCAGACAACTGTAACACCCTGTGTACCTTATTAAGCGACCAGGCGCACTTTTCCCTAAAATCATTACTTATTAATATGTGGCGGTGCGCGTAATTCCCGCCGGCGGTTCAAACATCTTGAACATGGCGGCAACCCAGATATCTGGTTCACAACACTTTGGTGTCCTTATTGGAAATGAATGTATCATTATCCATATGATGGACATCTGCCAAATCCGTCGTTGGCACTCACCAACATCGCATCCATATTTTTCCTATCTAACGCATAGTTTTTGTAGGAAAGTTTTGGCCAGCATTCCATAATCTCCCTGTGTATTTAGATAATACATGTTTCATGGGGAACAATGCTATAGTAAAAAGATATGTTTGTTTGATTTCAGGGGTATTGCAAGCATCAACCCACCGAGGGGCACCAAGATTCTTAAAAAGAAGAAGAAGCAACACTGTGTGTCACCCGCGGTTGCCAAGCTGATGGCTTCCCTGGAGGAATATGCCTTTTAAGCTGAAACAGTCTTAAAGCCTTCCTGATTCAAATAAAAGGTATGTTCCGGAAATGTCATCTTTAAGCCCAAGCAAGGCAAAGGGAAGGAATAAAAAGGTGGCATAAATAGAGCGGTACGCTGTCAATTGTACCGGATAAATTGGCTTCTGAATTTTCACCACACGTGTACTCTAGTGGTGCACATTACCTTGTGAACTTCTAAAGCATAGATCCATTTCTGTGAGCAATAAGGACAAGAATCCTTGTAGCCTCTATGGCGGGCACCAATGCAGGCGACCGAGTCGCAGTGAGCGGCTAGAGCCCGATGCGAAATGAGTACTCGCATTTCACATAAAATGGAAGACTCATTTCAAAACGGGCGCGGGTCGAATCGAGCGGTCAACTGGCGATGCGACTTGGTTGTCTGTGTCGTTGCCCACCATAGAGATGCACGTTTGCAAGATAACTAGTGCCATTAAAATACATGTTTGGGTAAAATTTGATATAGCTGTGTGCAGAAGCTAATTTTGAGGTACCAATTCACAGCCTACCACTATTTAGGCCACCCTACACTGGGTTTAATTATAATGCAAGGGTGCAAGCGAGTTGGACAAGAATGATGAAAATAATTCCTGGAGAAGAGGAACAAGGACAAACAGAAATCCCCAAACACAGTTAGGTGACTGGTGAGCAACCGAAAAGATCCGCCTGGTCCTGGTATCGAACCCGGGACCTCTCCCTTACAGGTGGAGCGCTCTACCAACTGAGCTAACCAAGGGTTAGACGTCAGTAGAGCAAACGGGTTTGTGTTTGTCCTTTGTCCTTGTTTCCCTTCTCCAGGGATTATTTTCATCATTCTTGTGCAGCTCGCTTTCACCCTTGCATGTAATTGCATTATAATTATAACCTTAAATTGCAAGCTTCACCCTCGTTGGTGTTAGACTGGTGGCAGCTGATAAAACCCGTTTGCTCTATTGACGTCTAAGCCCTGGTTAGCTCAGTTGGTAGAGCGCTCCACCTGTAATGGAGAGGTCCCGGGTTCGATACCAGGACCAGGCGGATTTTTTCGGTTGCTCACCAGTCACCTAGCTGTGTTTGGAGATTTGTGTTTGTCCTTTGTCCTTGTTCCCCTTCTGAAGGAATTATTTTCATCACTACACTGGGTGTTTGGTTTTAGCTGCCCCAAGTTTTCAAAACATTAAGTTTCATCAGGTAACTTCATTTTGCAATCAGCTTACTCTACTTAGCGGACACTACAAAGTTGTTTGTGGAAGGAGGTGGCTAATTAACATATATTTTAAATTAACTTCTAATTAGTAAACGGAGCCATATTCTTGCAATTAGAAACTTGCTGGCCATAGTCGAAAGCCACTAAACCTGTTCATTAGAAATGCTGGGAGAACCTGCATTGTTTTCACATTCATTTAATGTAAAATCTATGCACCTCACAGAAATAGGGTGGGCACCCCATTGGTCATAGTCAAGAGAACCATTTAATAAGGCATGTAGTGCTTACGATAATTAAGTTTTAAAATAGTTTTGCATACAATGATATTAACCAGTTTTAGAGACTTGCTGGGCATAATCGGAAATCACTAAATCTGTTAATTTTAGAAGGATTGGGGGCAGGTACGAAGAGTGATATTTCACAAAAGGTACCACTTTTCATACAGGCGCAAGCCTGGCAAAGCGAAAATGTGGATGATGAGACGGAAAAACTTGGAGGTCACGACAGATTTGCAGGCCAGAGAAACAATACATGTGCTCCTAGTCTCTAAATTTGAATAATTTAGTGGTTTCTCACGATGCTTATCAAGTTTCTAATTGTAACTATACGCTTATTTTTTTAACGAAAAGGTTAATTAAAACATCTGTTGTTCCTAGTGGCCGCCAAGTCAAGCAAACTAATGGCACTATCAAGATTTCCCTGGTGCAAGTTCTCTTCAATATTTTTGTCCATAAAAAGAATACCAGGTATATACTCAGGAAGTGTATCGTTAAGAGCCCAAGAGGGCAGAGTTAAGAGTCGAAGTAGGTATGTTCAATAAATTCCATTTAGTCTGAGCCCCAAGCGGGCCAAAGTTAAGAAATAAAACTGCAGTTTCTAATAGTCTGTTGAAGACAAGCCATCTGTTCAGAGCCAAAGCGTGGCGAATGCAAGAAATAAAGTGGTTATTTACAAATATTACAATATCTCATGTTTTCTTTCTTTAACAAGTTTGACGACTTCTTTCATCGCGAACATCCCGGCGTTAATAAGTCCAGGAAGGTAGGGAAGGTGTAAATATGGCGTGTTCCCAAAATAATCAGTGGTTTATTTCAATTCATCTGGAATATTTGATCTCACTGACATTTCTGTGCCACAGAAAAAAAAAGAGTTCTCAAGTTGATCTCAGAAACATTATACTTAATTTGAATTTCGGCTAATTAAAAATAACCCTCTAAAAAGCTGCAAGCCTGCGAGCTTTTGAAGCTTGCAAAATGTTGGTTGATGAGCCCAATTTGAAAACATGTTTCTTTCACACGTCTACAGAATACAGTAACTATTGCCGTATTCTGTATGCAGGGTGCGGTAACAATGTACAAGGGCAGGTATAAAACTATAAGGCCTCAAAATGCTTTGTCGCAAAATATAGCGTATTTATTCATCAAATAAATTATTGCCATGTTTCTCACAGGCAGTTAGTAATTTATCAATAACTATTCAAACTCTTCACATTCACATTGCAAAGTAAAACTCAATTCCGCCCCTGTAGAGGTCGTTACTCCTACTTTGAGACTCGTGTGCAGTGTCGGCTTGTCTTCCGAGAAATGTAGTCCTAGTCTAGGCGAAACAAAAGGTAGTTAACAAATGCACTCGGAAGATGCCACTTTCTGGATGTTGATGATCTGGAACTGCATGCCAATCTGCCAAGTCGAAGCAAGGACTTTTACAGGACTGGAATTCAGCGCCTTACTCAGCAATAGAGAAAGACTAAATAATAATGGAGGCATTGTTAAAACAAGTGTAAATGTTTAAGAATATGTCGATAATCGGTAGCGAGTAAGTATATGCGCTACCTTACAAGAAAATTTGACATTACCCTGTCACTTTCTGTTGTACATGTTTCTTTGTGTACTGGTCCCGCAAAGGCGACAGACAGCAACAGCCGGCTCTGAGAAACCTCCAGCATTCACACAGGTGTTATCTTTGGCAGGCTTGAATCACTCGAGCTTCGTTCCCGAGCTCAGTGTGCTCCGTGAACGAGGCATGACTGAATGCAAGCATGCCAAACTTCGCTTTGCATTGATGCTGCATGCAATCGTGTTTTCTCTGTGTCGGCTGTTGCTTATGTCGCTCTAGTAGGACTCGGGCTTAACATATTTTTTCTCGATGCTGTGGGACAGTTATTTTTATTACGTAAACTCTGTTACATGTTTTAATGAAAAATAACTTTCTTGTTAAAAATCTTTTTAAGTTGTCTTTCTACAAAGGTATAGAACAGAAACTCTGTTTCCTTTTCAAAATAAACTTTTTTTCACGATATTCAAAAATAGAAAGTCGATCTTTTTACAGAGTCCCAGAACAGAAACTCTGTTTACTTTTCGAAAAAAACTGTTTTTAAACAACATTTAAAAATAGAAAGTCGATCTTTTTACAGAGTCCCAGAACAGACAACCATTCTTTTAACAGAAATCATTTTCCCGCAAAATTGGGACAACAGAGTGTCGATTTTTTTACGAAGTTCCAAAACAGACAATCCTTCTTTTAACAAAGGCCGGTGTTTTCAAAATAATCGACTACAGAAAGCCGATCTTTTTACAAAGTTCCAGAACAGACACTCTTTGTTTTAACAGAAACCGGTTTTTCGCAAAATTTGACAACAGAAAGTGTATTTTTTTTACAGAAAAGCCAAGAACAGGAAATGCTATGATTTTAACGGAAAGTATGAAAACAGGGAAACAGACGAAAACAGAAAATTCGTGGCAAGAAACTTGCCAAGCTTTTTCTGTTTTTTTACACAGTTATTTTTTACAGTGTATATGTAATAACAGGTGACGTAATTACATAGCTCTATGTTTTCTACTCGAAACGTAAAAAATAAATACATGTTAATTTGTTTTTTGTTTTTAGGTACCAAGTGAGTTCTAGCACGAATCTCACATATCTTCAAAACTTGCTGTCTTTTCCCTCATGCAAACACTCAAACTATATTTTTAAAAAACAACGTACAATGTGCATTACTTATTATCGCTAAAGGTAAGGATAACGCGTTTGTTTTATTTTGAGATAACGCAGGTCGGTAGCGCTATGTGTATATATATATATATATATATTGCATCTAAGCAGCGATGTATTTCGTTCCTTTTTTTGCTAACGCCTACAACCCTCCTTGCCTGTGACTTCGATGCGCTGAGTGTGACTTACACATATACATTGAGGTCACTTGGGGTCCCGAAGCCTTTCCACCAAAAGGTCACGCAGGTGGAAGGGGTGGGATCACGGGTATCGAGGAACACCCTAGACTCTGGATGGGCTGGATCAACATCTGTCGTGTTCACGTACAGGAAGTGTCCTGCGACATTTTCCCATGAAACGGGAAACAACAAATATATATTAAGCGTATGCAGACAACTTTTTATGATAAAAAATATGAAGAATAAAAGGCGACAGCATTGCGATACAATCCAAACTCATTCAGATCAATCCTAAATTACAAATTACCTTTCACTTCCTTTATGTCACAAAACAAAAGGTGCAAAAAACAAAAATCATTGTTCAATACCAATAAGTATCAGCTGCATGCATTTAATTATAAAGAACTTAAGATAAAACTTCTGCTTGATCATATTTCGTGCAACACTAATGCCTCATACGAGTGACCCCTGTCAACCGGACCATTAAAGGAAATAAAGAGGTATATGAATCGGCGGCACATCGAAAATTTCAAAATGTCCAGCAAGCCGCAAGTTCTACCGCTGACCTGAAATTCCAAAATACGATGATGTTGCTCTTGACAATTTGCATTTCAAATGCAGAAAAAATGTTTTTCACACTGCCCACTATTGCCAATTTTAACGATTTGTACTCCAATTCAATCAAATATAATGATTTGCAGATTTGCGAAGCCCCACAATACCTCCGATGTCTTTCAAACGCCAAAAGAGGCCTACCAAATAAAGAGAAGTATTGTCGAAATGACAGCAACACTATAACAGAGATGCTCAAATGTAAAATACAAACCCTAAGCACACTATTGCTATTCCGGAAACGTTGAAAGATGCAGTTTCAGGTGAGGGCACTGAAACAGCTGAAACATGCCTCACAGGAATGTCTGAACAAATCTTCATTGAGAGCGGAATAAATGTTTGAACTCTGTTCTTACAGTCACCATAGCATCTTAAAAAACGTGGGGTGCGACGAGTAGCGAGTATCTTTTTACCACTCGGCGGCCAGTGGCGTTGCGAAATTAGACAATTCGCCGTTCTTTCGACGAGACTTGATACGAGGGTTCTTTCCGTTGTGCTCACCAGCATTGGCCTGCAAGGTGTGGTCGGGAACCTTCAGCGCTTTGCTTTGAACGACGCGCCATATTCTCGGGCTGGAATGCTCCCAGTAGAAGCCACACGGACTTCCGAGTTCGAAAGTACATTTGTCTAAAATAAGAAAAAAAAGATGCGTTGACCGCTAAGTGTGGGCAACATAGCGTTTCAACGCCGCGAATATACACAGTGTTTCATAGAAGGCAGGCCAAATCTCTCCTGCGAAAACTAAACATCGCACAGAAAAAAGGTTGATGCCGTGTTGCCTGCCCGAGAGCCTGTTTATGAAAAATAATAACGTTTAAAAATATAACTTATTAAAGTTTTTTTTTAGAAAGTAACTTTTTATTTGTTCATTTGAAGGCCATAGTTTCAATTAGAAACTTACTCGGCATCATCAATAACCTCTATATCAACCCTTTTTAGACAACTATAAAGCATGCCGAGCGTTTTACCATGTTCTGAGGAACCCTTCAATTCTCACGCGGGGCTAGTGCAGGAGGTAGAGAACAGGTTTAGAGCACCAAAAGAGTATGATATGTGACATTTAACATTTCGTTTCACGTGTTTAAGTTATGCTCAGCGTATAAGATCAATATTTTTTTTATGTCTAAGCATATTTGTAGCCTCGAGATTAGCCCAATCTACTCTCTTGAGTTAAAATGTTGGCTCTTCGAGGCAGTTTGAAGAAAAGAAGAGGTGCTGTATATTTTATAGTGCATAAACTGCGATGAGCTACAGCTGCGTACAAAGCTTTTCCGAGTGATATCGGCACATCACTCACATACATATATCCTAAATGAAATTTGTCATTGTTTTGCTCAATATATTTGTAAAACTGTCCAATTTGTTCGTGTATTCTGAACTTCAGTGTCGTGTAATAAATATATGTTCACTGATTTAAAAGAAGAAAACATGCGATTTCCGTTTGCAAAATTACTGCCTGCCTGGTTTAAAATTCAAAATATTTGCTTTGTGATATAGGGTTAATTTTCTGGATAGGCTAATTAACTTGTCATTTCATGAAACCTTTTCATAAGGAATCATTGCACGGCGACTTGTGAGTGCACTTGTTGATTAGAGCACTCACCTATCAGTGGACATTTGCCAGAAGTCACCTCCAAGTCATCCAAGGCAATCAAGCCAGATGAAATGTGGACCTCCAGGGTAAACTGCGAGCAGGTATACAATAAATGCAAAGCTAAATGCAACAAAAAGTTAAATGGGAGCACAAGTTAACTTTTTATTATCACCTATCGGACTTCAAACCGAATTAACATAATAATACCTATTGAAATTATTTCGTTTATATTCTTTCTTTTATATCTGATATATAGCGCATGGGCCTAATGGAATATTTTACAACCTGCTATCAATAACTAGGTAATGTTTCATAGCATTTTAAAATTCTGAGCAATTATGCATGTGAAAAATGCACAAGCTTGGCGCCTCCTTGACGCTCCCGACAATGCTCAGCAATATTTCAACTAGGAGAGCACCATCTATAAACGTCAGTAAAAACTGCCTCAAATCCTTTTTTTACAAGGTAAGCTTACGCATTTATGCTTTAACCTCTCCCACAACTCGAAAAAAATACTCTCACGTAGCCACAACTGAGACTAGCCACTTTTCGCGGTTCATTTAACCTTGGTTTTATGCGATTGACCCAGGTGGTATACACCTTATTGCGACGGTGCACAACACGACGCTGACACAATGATGCATTACTCCATTCTGAACCATAGGTCCACCCATATGACCTGGTCCTCATGAAATCATTCAAATTCATTCGGGAAAGACGGCCTTCTCCCAGCCACTCGGCCTTGGTAATATCATAAATCTAAAACAAAAAAACAAAAACAAAAAAAACGTTCTCCTGGTCAGGGTTATGAGGCAGTTCACTGTAACGTTTCGAGCAACAACTACTAGAAAGTTGTTGCATTAAACTCCACAATATCTTTCACCAATGCAGATTTTCAGCGTGTACTAATTTTTTCTCTGTCAATTATCTCACCTCCCATTGCGTCACCCCTATGCAAATATTAGAGTTTATAAAAGCAGTTCTTGTATAGGAAAACATTACACTTGACAGACAACAAGAATAAGAATGAAGTAGGTGTACCTTATCCGCATTTCCCGGCATCGTCATCTGATGCTGGCCGTGCACCCAGCGCACGTTCCAAAAGTCTCTCCATTGCGGATACAATTCTACTGTGTTATTTATTCCGAAACTAGAAAAAAAATTGTATGGTTAACAACATTGAATACTTCAAAACAAAGGAGATCATGCACAAAACGTTCATTCTGCAGACGCATAAAGGCTAAGCTAATTTTCTAAAAAAAGTTGACGATTTTATGTGCCAAATCAACAAATAGTATCTGGCACACCCCTGAAAACGACTGAGTAATATATTCGACCTCCTAGGAATATTTTGATGTGCAACCAATATCCCGGTTATAAAGCACCTTCACGGCAATAGGCCCCCGACGGAGTGTGAGACCCTTGACCGGTAATCTAAACGCTAACCAAAGGTATATAGGCCGGAGCTTCGCTTCAAAGCAACCGAGGTGGCGAACACTGGCCTGCTCAAGATGCCTCCCCAACCGTGTTTTTTTTTAAATATATGTGTATATAAGGGAACTGTGTTCGTGCACAACTCAACATTATGACTGAGTTGTGTGCATGTTAATTGCGTAGATAATAACACTAAATCAAGAGGCGTGCCTCTTCAGTTCATCATAAGACTAGCAGATACAACTAAAAAGAGAAACTATAAATTCCGCATATTTGGGTTGCACAACAATATGTTTTCTTTTTCTCGGATTAATACACATATTGCGACAAACTTAATGTGCAGAAGTTATAGTTTCTTTTTTTTTAAATATGTAATTGCTAGTGAGCGAAGAAAATGCCACCAATGGAAGTTTAACCGAAATCAACTTGCCTAAGTTTACGCCGCGGGACACAGTTTTTGAGGAGAGCATACACTTCGACTTGGGGAGCCGAAAGAGCAGCATTTTTAGGAATTACTTTTAGAGAAACCGAATTCGCAGAAAAATAGAATGACAGAAGACGCGGTTTGTTTATTTTTATTACTTGGGTTGCTTCACGTATTTCGACCGGGTCTTAAAAATTTCAACAGAATGGTATTTTTAAGTGCCTTGTCTGCATATGAAGTCAATGTTTCCCCCAGAAGAAAAGCGTTAACCCTACATTTACGGCGCGAGATTCACTTTCATTAAGCAAAAAATTTGAATTATACTTCTGTTTTGTCACGTCGTACCAAAATAGGAGCAATATATGGAAGCATGCCGGGAGACACTTAATTAGATCTCATGACCGAAATAGAGCCCTTTTTTGCGTCCTGGTGTGAATAAGGAGAGGAACGTTCGAGATATCTGGTGCAATGCACCTCACATCTTGAAGAATATTTGGGACAAGTTCGTGTTTTTCTCACACAATTTTTTCAGTTTTTTTTTTTTTTTTTTTTGCGTCCCAAATATCGGCTTGAGAGATGCGATTTTAAGAGTGCAGATGGGCTGTTAATTGAGTGATGAAATGAGCTTCAAAACCTAAAGGAATACTCATCCAACCTTTCCTTCTTTAAAGATCAAGGATAGGACACGCATGTCATAAAACAAACTTTTCCCGACAAAAATAGCTCAATGTTCGGTTCGCAAGACACATTTTCAGTCTTGATATGTGATTCCATTTCTTTGCTATTTTTGGGGAGTTCGGCCCCGGCAGGTGGTACTGCTAAACATGCTTTTCTTCCTGGTCAACGTGCCGAAATAAAAGCATGTTTCAGTCAAGTCCTAGCTCAAATCGCCTCTCAAGATGTAAATATTGCGCAATCTTTTTCGAGCAACTCTTCGTCTTTTTTTTTAATAACATGTCCTATCCAACATGGTAGCCCAGTTCTTCGGGTAAAAGTTTGGTTTGGTCCCAAACTACTGGGCGTTGAAAAGACTGAAGAAGCAAAGGTAGAGACAGCTGAACTCGACCTTCTTTGGCCTCCTTCTGGGACTCTAAGCACTATCCCTAATTGGCCAAAAAAGTGCCAAACTTAAGCTCCACTGGTGGTAGTTTGACTGTCATTTGGCATATATGGTCTGAAATCGTCAAAAGATTGCCAGAGTTAGGCTTGGATTCGGGTAGCTAGACCTAGGATTCATGCTGGTTTTCATGAGGCAAATTTGAGTCTAAATTTCTAAACAAGGGCCAGATCTAGGATTCACTGCTGGTTCTTCAGTTCATACGTAGCATACATTGTTCATGTCTGGGACTTTAGCAGCCATGGGACGAGCCAAACAAAAGTCATAAGAAGGCCGAAGTAAAGGCTCTGCCATTATGGCATGCTGCCAAGCAGACAGTTACAAAAGGAAATCCGAGGCGTTTTTAAAGTCACTTTAACAAAACCCGTGCTGAAACCTGGGGATCGCAATCTCAGGTTATTCTGATGCAGCTGTCCACATTAACACAATTAACTTTAGAAAACCATAGTATGGAGCACAAAAACAACAAAAAATAAACCTCAAGATTTACTTTCGTAATATCCTAAAATTTTTCAATGTAGAGTTTCGAGAGTTAGTGACATAATTTACTTACTATCCGTATGTGTTTGGCGCACTCGTATGCCATAGAGACACACAGAAGCGACTCCGGTAGTCGGCTGGAAGTTCTGGGCTTCTCAGTCTAGCTGCTTGGTACCGGGAACCACTGGCTTCGGCGTAAATGAAGCGCCCTGAAAAAAAATAGACGCGTACAATACACTGTAATGAGGAATTAGAGCGGAGCTCTTGATGGGGAAGAGGGGGTATAAGAGGAAGATATCCCACTTCCTCCTCCTTCGTACGCTCTCCTCCTCCCTCCGCCTCATCCTTTTCTCATTCTCCTCCCCTCCTCCTTCCCCTCCCTTCCTCTTTCCGCGTGACGTCATTCGTGACCCTCGTGATGTCACTCGTGAAAACATCGCCAAGGTCGTGACCTTTACGAGTTAAGGCCAGGTGAATGTCATGACCTTCGTCGTGAACTTCACGAGTGACCTTCGTGATGTCGCTTGTGACGTCACTCATGACGTCAATCGTGAATCTAGAGAGCATCGTGGTGTCCCTCGTGACGTCATTATGGGAAACGTCCCACAAGGCAACGCGTGGTTACGCCGACGGCGACGGCGACGCCGTTCAAGCCGGAAACGGATGCCAAAGAGCTGCGGTCTAATAAAGAAATCAGGTAATGTTAAGACTTGATTTCATTGTAACGTCCTCTAGTGTTTCATCCCCCGTTCACTTTCTTGAGGCAGGCGGCCTCAATACATGAATAATTTATTATAAACAACTACTCTATATTTCCAAAAAAAGAAAGCAATGGATATTGAAGTGGCACTTCGTCGCAGTACACTGCCAAACAGGAGCAACGTGGTCATCGAAAGACCGACGTGTGGAGTACTGTAGAGTGGCGCCCAATATGCTTTCACTGTGCTGATTCTGGCCATGTATCTCGCCGCTGCTACTACCGCCAGCTTAGAACCCGAGATTTTCAAACAAGCGACCTCGGGACACCGACGAATACCTCCGCGGGTCGCCGTTCTCGGGACCGTTTCCCCTCACCGGTTTCCGTTCGCCGTCACCCAACCGCCCGGCATCGCTTCTGCACATATCCCGCCGTGAGAGCCTGTCGCCCCTCGCCCCTCGTCGTGGATAATAAGCGCGGGAAACCCTCAAGGTGGAGTTTCCCAAGACCATCGTTGGAAGCATCCTCCAAGCACGTCCGAGGGCTCTCCTACTTGACCGACGACAAGCGTTGGAACAACAATTTTGCAAAGGTGCCCAAAAACCTCAACGTTGTCACCGACGGCCATGACGCGTCGGCACTCGTGGACACCGGCGAAGATTAATCTGTTTTATGTCGGAAGCTCTCTCGCCGCCTTCGGAAAACTCGATGCCTTGGACGAGCGGCAAATATGCACCACCGGAGGACACTTCATCACGCCCGTTCTGAGGTTCACTGCTCGCGTCGAAATTCGTAGGGAGACCTGTTCAGTGAAGTTAGTTTTTCGTCAGGACTGTGCGAGAAAAGTCATTCTTGGCATGGACTTCCTCTGTCAATGAGGTGCGGTGATCGATCTTGGAGCGAACAGGTTGATACTGCGAAATTCCGTGTCCTACACCCGAAGGGATCCACAACGCCGCCGACCGCTGTCTGAGTCGTTGCGTACCATGTGAACCTGCCGCCGCAGTCTGGCATCCTTGTGTCCGTCATGAATGCTGCCATCGTCAGCGGGAAAGTTCTTCTAAAAGGCGACGTCCAACTGCTTCTAGGAATAGAAATAGGCGTCGCAAGGGGAGTAACAGGGCTGCAAAATGGATTCACTTTGGTTTTCTTCACAAACTTTCGACAGGAAGTGCAGCACCTCACGAAAGGTACCACTGAAGGCTACGTCGAAGAACTCTGGAAGGCCGCGGGAATCACCGCGACAACCGATGAACACTCGCCATCTCAGCCGTACAGTACACCCCCGCCGCAGCTCGATGTTAACCCCAAGCTTAGTGCAAGGGAACGACGACAGCTCAGAAACTTCCTCGCCGAACTCAACGACTGCTTTGCGGCGACGTCCAAGTGCGGAAACAACAGTTGCGAAACACTGCATTCTTACGAAACGAGGCAGCTCTCCCTGTGCGTCGGCCGCCGTACCGAGTCTCCCCAAAGGAAAGAGAGGAGGCCATTCACGAAGAAGAACAAGAAATGCTGAACGACGATATCATCCAGCCTTCAAGCAGCCCGTGGGCCTCTCCAGTCGCATTGGTGGAAAAGAAGGACCGCACGCTTCTATTCTCCACAGTCTACCGGCGGTTCAACGCGGTGACCAAGAAAGACATGTATCCACTTCCCCCGGATCGACGACACACTGGACAGGCTGCGACACTCCCGATACTTTTCATAAATAGACCTGAAGAGTGGCTGCTGGGGGATCGAAGTCGAAGAACCTGAAAGAGAGACCACTGCCTTCGTCACGCCCGGACTGTACGAGTTCAAGGAGATGCGTTTCGGACTGTGCATGGCACCGGCAACTTTTTAGCGTGTCATGGACACCGTACTGGCAGCCCTGAAATGGCAGAGCTCTCTCATTTGCATTGATGACGTCGTAGTATTCACGGCCAACTTGGATGAGCACTTCCGTCGCCTTCGGGCCGTTCTTCAAGCAATCGGGACCGCCAGACACACCCTCAAAGCGACAAAGTGCCGGTTCGCCTCCAGCAAACTGAAGTTCCTAGGTGACGTTGTGAGCAACGAAGGTGTCCGTCCATACCCTGAGAAGATTCGCGCCGTAGCGGCTTTTCCACCGCCCACCGACAAGAAGGCCGTCCGAAGATTCCTTGGACTTTGCACGTTCTGCAGGTGGTTCGTTCGGGATTTCGCCAAGCTTTCCGCTCCGCTCACGCACCTCGCGAAAGACGCCGTGAACTCCAAATGGGGAGAATGAGAACAACATTCATTCGACGGGCAAAAAACGACGACTCCAGTGGCACTGATTCTTGGCCAATTCGACCAATCAGCCGAAACAGAAGTTCACATCGACACCAGCAATACAGGACTCGGCGCGGTACTGGTCCAACGACAATAGGGTCTTTAAAGGGTTAAAACAGCGCAAACGACGAGGAACGAGAAGCAGAAGGACACGTGCACCGCGGTGTGTATTTGTCCTTCTGTTTCTTGTTCTTCGTCGTTTGTGCTAACTGTTTTAACCTTTTAAAGATGTCACACCAACCAGCCCTAGCTTCAACCTTTGACAATTGGGTACAGAGCGCATGATCGCCCACGCTAGTCGGACGCTGTCACTGAACGGGGAACGAAATTACTGGACGACCGAGAAGGAATATCTTGTCTTGTGGGCAATCCCATAAGGAAGCCCGTTTCGAGCGGTCCCAAGCCACCACTCGCTTTGTTGGTTCGCAAACGTGAAGGATCACTCAGGACGTCTCACACGGTAGAGTTCGACTTCGAAAATTCTACGTGAGTGTGGTGTACGAATCCAGCCACAAGCATAGCGACTTCGATAATTTGTCGAGGGCACCAGACTAGTTGGCTTCTGAACGCACAGGCAACAGCGACGACGACGACGTTACTGTCGGTGCGGTGACTGTGAACAACATGGGAACACTTTAACGAGACCATCCTGAGCTACGTGCTATCATCGAGCATCTGGAGGGACGAGGGAGTGCAGTTCCACGTGCCTTCGCACCATCCCTGACTCCCTTCGCTAACCTCCACTAATTATTCGTGTAAGATAGACCCAAATGAGATTGCGTGGAATGAAATTATTTGAGGTTGAGGTCACTTTCACCCCTTTCAGAATCTGTTAAACGACCAGGCTCATCAAGTAAATGCTTTACAGATATCAGACTCCATAGTTTTTCACTTTGAGTTTAAATACGTTTACGTTTTACTAACTCAAAAAAAAATGCAATACGCATTTTTTTTTAAATTTCAATGTGCATACTATTAGAATCAATTATCATGCACGCATAAATAAAAACATATTGTGCGTTGACTCTGTGAAGTTGTTTTTTTTCCTTGGAACAAATAAAAGAAAATTATGACCTCATGTGAAGATTAATAACTTAATTAGTAAAAATAAAGTGTTATTGTAGCTTAATTGAAAGTATAGGTGTCACTCCTTATATACTTTAAATTTAATAGTTAGCCATGATTATGACAAACGTAGTTCCCAAGCGACACTTCAATAGCCGTTCTAAACTTATTATTTCAAGCATTTATTTTAGACATCTCATCTTTATAGTGACACTATCATAGAGCATTCGGGACCTCAGTTAATGAACAACTACGCACCTCTGTACGCCTGAAGGGTGTGGTCCGATTGGGGGAAGGGTGGAATTTTCTTGCTTGGCTCGTTGAGTTTAAAGGAAATATCGCCGTTGACGTGTTCCCAACCACAGAACGTTCCGTCCTCAAAATTGCACCACAGAGCTGCAACAACAGAAGAAAAAGTGAAATGAAGAATTAGTGACTTCAATTGCCCATGTTAGTTAATGTGAGATAACGATTTATTCAGTCTGATTGACTAGTCTTCAATGCTTCCCCCTGCCCTGCATATGCGCAACGCATTACGTAAGTTTCTATAGCAACCTTTTTAATATAGACTTGTAGTTGTCTAGAAGACACTTAAAGACCTTTATTACAAAAATGTGTGCACGTAGCAAATATTAGGTGCACAAAGCACTTCGTTTTGTTTATTTAATTATCTTAGTCAATGCCAGCTTAAGGACTCAAAAGTGTAATTGCTTGAAGTATTGAAACTATCCCACAAAATTCGCAGACATAATGCTGTGCATGAGATTCAAGAGAGGTGTAGTTCTTATCACCTAAATCTGTATGGTGCACAATTAAGAACCTTTATGGCGAACTTCTCAAGACCGACAAAATAGCAGTAGAAGTTATTTTTTATCCGTTTCATTTTGTATCTTTAATAAACAAAAAATAGATAGGGCTGCAGCTTTGTGCCGGGTTTCTGCGAAGTAGGCGTTATTTGAGTAAGCTATGACGGAATGGATGGTACATAGTTCTTCCTTATAAACGTGATAGCAGTTAATTCGCACCATCTGTTAGCACAAAGAATAAAAAAATAAACATCACTAGGTGTATATGATTATTGAAAAAAATAAACTGCGGTTTCAAAAACGGAAACTCGTGAAGCAGATAGAAACGCGGCACAAAGCTGCCGTACAGTACACCGTTTTCACATGTGATTTCAAATTGGCTAAACTGACTCCTTTTGAGGCAGGACAAAAAGAATTAAAAAAAAATGCATCGCGACAGATCTATTCCATGTGTCAGTGGAGTAGTGTATGAAATTCCTTTGGAATGCGGCTTTAAATATTTTGGTCAGACTGCAAGGTGCATTAACGATAGGTTGACAGAACGTAAACGGAATATGCGGATTAACGCATCAAACCCTGAGCTAGCGAGACATCTCCAGAAGTGTAATGCATGTACAACGAACTGGTCAGAGGCAGAAATCGTACACAATGAACGTGAGGAAATGAGACGTGTTGTGCGGGGGAGGTGTATATAGCTGTTCGCATAAAAACATCGGGAAATTGCATTAGCCAAGCGTCGCTGCAAATTGGGAGTGAGTCAAAAAAAGTGTCTTCGACTGTAAAGACCTAGTGTGGGATGAACGTAAAAGGGGAGGGGGTTGCTTCGAAGAGTTGTTTGCATTGTTGGGTTCGGGATTGTAATGGGGGGCATTGTTGGCGACTGTTTGTGATTCACGGCTCAGTTCAGGAGAAAGGGGGGTGAGTTAGACACGGTATTTTTGTGTTCCCAAGTGCTGGTGTTACATTGACCGCATCGAAGTCCTTCCGGGCGCGGTGGTGACGACTTTGTGTTTCTGTTTGTATAACGCTTTTTTTATGTATTGTTTGCGGTTCGGTGTATTGTCATTACGGTGTATTGTTTCTAGTTCAGCGATCAGCCGTTGTGGTGGTGGCGACGTTCGACGTCCGGGGGAGGTGTATATAAGACGTAGAGGCAATGAAGTTTTTAGCTGAGTTTGAAAAGTTGTCTGTTCCTTTTTCTTTCTACTTCATGAGTTTCCATTTTTAAACCGCAGTCTCAGGTTTTCAATCATCATGTATAGCTGACACCAGCACGCCTGCACTTCAATCGTTTTTTCATTGATCAGTAGGAGCATGGATTTTGTTTAATCCTTCTCTCGAATGATGTTCGGAGTGGTATTGTAACCTTTTTTGAAGTCATCAAGCAAAGTTAAAACAAAAACCTTTCTATATCGGAATATAGCCTAAAACCCCTGTCAGACCGGCACATTAAAAGACTTAAGATCGAGCTCCTCTAAAGAATTAGTGAATTAGACCTCGATCATGCACTTATTGCCGTGCGCTAGTTTGCCAAGATTTTAAAGGTTTTTGTTTTGAAGGTCTTTAAAGGGCCCCTGAAAAGAAAAAAAAGTTTTTTTTTTTAAACAGTCTGGTTGGGACACGCGTGTCAAAAAATGAATTTTTCGCGAAAAAAAAATTTTTTTTTTAGAGCAATATTGACGGCGAGAGATTTATTTGAAATTTTGCACGCAAATTCCAGGTCATTCAGCTCGGCTTCTCATTGGTAACCATGGTCATTCAAATCGGCTTCTCATTGGCCAATAGAATGAGTGACAGCTTAGATGTTGGTTATAAAATCTTCGTGATCTCTTGAGATCGCCTTTTGAATGATATATTTTTAGGTTTAAGAAAGAATCCATCGAATGAATGTCGCAATTGCTTACAAACGTTTTACAAAATCGTAACTTCCGTTCGGATACTCAACAAACAAACGCTTCGCCATTTTGTTTTCTGTCATGGTCGCCGTCGTTGTAACGCGTCTCGCGTACCTCGGGTGGTTTTATAGTTTTATCGCGTTTATATGTGAAAACCTTCTGAAGAGGGCTTGTTGCTTGTGTCAGTTAGTCATCGTAAGTACTTAGGAAGTGGCGCGGTGTGACAGGTTTTCGCTTCCCTGCTTTTCTTTGCGTGATTCGTGTGCCCCGTTTACCCCATCTTTTGTATGTTTTCTGGCGCGCGCCAGTGACAATTTTTTGTTTAGATGTCGGTTCCTGTAAACAGTTTAGTGAAGGCACGCGGCACCGCACTCAACGTTTAATAACAAAATGAGTCACCACTGCATGTCCTCGCGGCGGCTTGAAGGGTCGTGCGGCTCGGACGAACTCGTCGAGGCACCCGCTTCGCCGCCTTCCGCGGCGAAGTAGGTGCCTCCTCGCGAGCGGTTGTCTCGCGGCGATCGGAGCGGACGCCTTCCGGCTGGCGAGGCGTGTCCTCGTACGGGCGAAGGCCCAGCTGCTGGCAGCGTTGAAGGGTTGAAGCAACCGACGCTTCAGGTCGGGGTCCATCGTGCACGATACGACGCGGTACGCCGTGCGAGTGCGACCGGCAGACACAGGGGCTGTGTTCCAAATCTCCAAATGGATCTGAGTTATTCTGGCGGATCGTATCACGTGACAGCACAGATTTAAAAACGCTGTACGCGGGTAGGTTTTAGAACGCCAAGGGTGCAAAACTCTAACCCTGGGGTAAGATCGAGTAAATTTTGGAACACGGCCAGGAAGTAGCAATGGCTCTCGTGCGGGGCGCAGCCAAGCCGGGAAAGTAGCCAAGCCGATCCACTACGAAGAGGCGGGGTGTACCTCTCCTCCACGCGCCCGAGATGCCGAGAGAGAAAAAGGTGGAAAGGAGGTGACTGCCGACTAAATTCCGTCTGGCGCGGTCAATATTGCTCTAAAAATGTTTTTTTTCGCGTAAAATTAATTTTTTGACACGCGTGTCCCAACCAGACTGTTTTAAAAAAACTTTTTTTTTCTTTTCAGGGGCCCTTTAACGTGCCAGTCCCCCCCCCCCCCCGTCCCCCCGCCCCCCTAACAGGGGCATAAAACTACAATATAAAAGACGCAGAAATACAAGGATAATTCCAAAACGTTGCAGTGTAGAATCGATGAGGAATCGTTCGATTTGATGTTGCTGCTCCGCAAGTTATACACAATTCTTTTTTTTTTCTCACGTCAATGAATTCGTTGTAAACGCCATACCCCGATTAAATTTGCAATTCACCAAAAGAAGCGCTACAAGTGAACCCAGCCAATCAAAGGCAATGAACGTGTGAGGTAACTCAGCGCTTCGCGCGTCACACTGCCCTTTCCGAAGGTCACGTGGCGATCATCTAGTACTGGATTAGCTTGGATTGTTTGTATGATCCCCCAAACCTCATCGTAGGGTGAAACTGTAAATACAAAGCCGTTTCTTTTGATCTTTTTACGCCTCTGAGAAGTTAATCTGCCTTCAAACATACAAAATTTCAAATAAAAAAAGATGTATTTATGAACGGCTGAGGCTACTGCAGCTTTCGTCTGGACTCACCTCGGCTTCCACCTACTTATTAGAGCACGTAACGTGGATAATTTGCACAATATCAACTATCAATTGTTTTTTTATTAAAGTAATAGACAGCTGTCACTTATTGATTGCGTGGAAAAGATACGATTAGTAAGGATGGTAAAGTTTTAAATAGAAATACATCTAGCTCAAAAGAATGAGCAAGGATATATTCTTACTTTTTGAGGTCCAATTTTTTTAATTGAATTTTGTACTAAAGTTGACGTAACACAGTTGTAGGTTTTTACTGCAATTTCCGAATATAATAACAAAGCTTGCACATTTTGTTTTCCTTTCAAAGTTCCCTTTTTTTACTTTCAAGAAGCACTTCATTGCAGAATAATTTTCTAAGAGAAAAAGAGAAGCAAACGTGCTTTTTTTTTATGTTTATACTTCATTTTTCTACCAACTTACTTGCTTCTTCATCCGGGATTTGTTTGGTCTTTTCGGCTGTAACAAAATGAAAGATTCATAAGCTTTAATAACATTTTATCATACCTACGTTTGCATGTATTCTGTTAGAGTCTTTTTTTAGTTTTATGTGCATTGAAGGGCAGTAATATAGAAGGCATCCTACTTGAATTGCTTAATAAAAACCCGAAACTAAGAATAAAATAAAATTGAGCAGGAAAAAGAAGCACTGTGAACCTTCATACAATGTGATACAATTTGTTCTTGGAGAACACTTCACTCTTTACCTGTTTCAACCAACAAACAACTGCAATCTATTGGGCTTCCTAAGGCTACATGAAGTTAAGGCTGTAAATCTCACCTGAAATTAAGCCGACAGCCGCAATCCCGTTGGTTCCTTTTCCTCTGGTGACTGCGACAACAATCTGGGATTGTTTAGAAGGTTTTAGTTTCAGTACAGTTGACTGCCAATCACCACCCTCTGGAAGGTTAACAGTTTGCAGTGTGTCCATTGCTCCACTATCCTTGTAGCTGATCTGCCTGAGCTCCATGGACACAATGTCTGCGTAGTGGGTGAAGAGCATAAAAAATAAGCTTTTTGCAACATAGTTTATTTTCTTCATACATACTTGCAACGAACTCCTGAAATTAAAGTTATCGCTTATTTCTTCATTGAATAGTACGAAGTAAGATCATCGAATAAACGCCTACACCTCTTCATAATGCTGGTCGTCGTAATCACCCTAGTGAAAAATCCTATAACTATAAGAGTTTATGGTCCCATAAGCGCATATGATCAAATAAGAACGTACTGTAACATATAAGAAACATCTAAGAACTCTATTAGATTATACAAGAAGTTATGCGAAACGTTTTTAGAGCGCAGCTCTTCGGCGTCCGCTCTTCGGCGTCGCCGTCGGCGAAACCTCGCGGTGCCCTATGGGTAAATTTCCCGTCTAAATTCAGCTGAAAATTGTCCCCGCTAAATTCAGCAAGGCAATTTCCCCGCTAAATTGAGAGGAAAAAGGTCCCCGCTAAATTTAGGTAAAAAAAAAAATTACCCGCAAAATTTTGCCGAAAAATTTACCCCCTAAATTTGGCAGAAACTTTTTCCCGCTACATTTACAGGAAACATTTTGCCGCTAAATTTAGCAGAAAATTCTCCCCGCTAAATTTAGCACACTAACTGTATCGCTAAATTTAGCGAAAAATATTTTTTGTTAAATTTAGCGAAAAATTCCCCGCTAAATTTAGCCCAAAACAGTTTCAGCCATATTTCGGAGAAAATTTTCTCGCTCAATTTAGAGGAAAATTTTTACGCTAAATTGAGCGGGGAAATTTTTCCGCTAAGATCAGCGGGAAATTTTTCTGCTAAATTTAGCGGGGAATTCTTTTCGCTTAATTTAGAGGGGAGGTCTTCCCGCTAAATTTAGCGGGGAAGTTTTTCTGCTAAATTCAGAGGAAAAATTTCTCCGCTAAACTCAGCGGAAACAAATTTGCCGATGAATTCAGCAAGAAAAACTCTCCACCAAATTTAGCGGAAAATTATCCCCTAAATGGGAGGAGAGCAGGAAAGTAAGAGTGGCGTAGCCTCCTCTCCGTACTTTCCTCTCCTCCTCCTCAAGAGCTCCGCTCTAATTCGGCGTTACAGGGGATTGTGAATGTCTTTAATTTTTTTTAATATATTTCTTACATATTTTCTTATCTTCGTTTAAGACTTATATGTTTTTATCTAATTTCATTTGATCATATCCGCTTATTGCACGAATAAATATCTTATACCAACAGGAGTTTTCACTGGGGCTTTGTTGCGTCCTGTTTTTTTTTTTTTTTTTTTGTCATTATACTATGTCAACAGCCTCGAATCGCAAGGCGTCGGTTTGTACGCCTACTCCTCTTTGCTCCGTTTTTTGTTCTTTGGTTTTCTCGTTGGCTTATCCCGCAACCCTGTTGGGTGTGGAGAGAAAATAGCGTGCCCAGGGTTCCCCACACCTTGCGTTTTTGTTAAGGTGTCAGTACTGATAGCAGCAAACGCCTCCGGGACACGCATGGGCGTTGCAAGTTCTGGGCATCCCATTACCACTCTCTAGAGAATCAGATCGCGGCATTTGCCCATGAGAACCCCGATGAACCCATAATGAAGCAAAGGGCATGAGCATAATGAGCCAAACCCTACATTTCTTAACTTATAGGGTTCGCCAAGAGAAAAAACAAATGCAGCCTACCAGTGCAGGGAGTCACGTGTTCGATCCTATCAACCAATTTCATCGGGCCATTTTTAACGCGAGAGTGTCATTGAAAAGCCGGTGTCGGTGGGTCAAGAAACTCCTGATTGGTCGAGAGGGTCGTGACATCGCGCGACAATTTCAGAGCCCAGGACGATCGCGTGAAACGTGACATCACGCGTAAAATGAAAGTGATTAGTACATGACATGTCATGCGAATTGAAAGCCGTCGCATGCCTTAAATAATTTCACCTTATAAAGTAATCACTTTTTCTAAAATATAACAAAATTAAAGAATTTTGGTTGGGATTGGAACCCACGACCCCTCGGTTGTGAGCCAGACACGCTAGTGATTAGGCCGCGCAGACACGCTCCCAAGGAGTCCGCGTTCCACTCTTAAAGGCGAAGCTTAAGCATCCTCCTGTAATTTATTATCTTCAAGTCAATCAGTCGGCAACTTCAAGTTGTGCCATTTTTTATTCCAGGTGAGACCACTTGCGACAAGTGGATTGGTTGAGATATTGTCCTATGGGGCTTGAAAGCTCCAAGATCAATTTTGTTTTGCTCTAGGTAGCCCAGTTATCTGCAGCCAACATTACTTTTGGAAGCAAATGAGGGTACTAATAGTGTGAAAAAGCGCAGGAATAACCAAACGTGACACATTTTGACCACGGTCTTTGCAAGTAGGTCCTAAATCATCAAGCGATGGCCGATGCTAGGTTTCTTGGATAGTTTTTCGGATATCACGTGAGTTCTTTGGCACCCCGTTGCACACTAAATTTTGGAATAAAGTAACACTGCTGTTTTTTTTTGTTGTTTTTTTGCTTTTTACCAGTCACCAGTTGGTCCTAAGTAACCCTTGGAACAAAACCTTGCTCGATCCAAATTAGGTACCTAGACTTGCTAACCTGTAGCCGAAACTACATTTTTCTATAGGGTCCTGCCTGGTACCCTGATATATTTTCTTTACGTGAGATCAGTGCCCCTACTATCCCAGAAGCAGACAAATTTGATTTTTTTGTTTTAAATGTAAACTGTGGTGTATTTATTATAAGCACTCAAGGCATACTCCACCTTTTGAGTCAAGAGCCGCACCGCTAATTTTGACTTTTTCTTATGATCAGCTCGTTGGTTTATGAGAGAGCAATTAACAAAAAACACGTTTTTAGTTAGAAAAATTGCGAAAATATTGAGTGGAGTCAACCTAAACTCGGATTCGAAATAATGTTAGTCGTAACCTTCAGCTCCCTCAGAGGTGGTGTCACAAATGCTAGATTGTAAATTTCAAAGATAGTTTACATTCGAGGTTGCGGAAGCACGAGGGATTAAAGAATCCGCAATATCAACCTATGCCCGTTTTGGCATTCATTTAAAATTTTTAGCATTTGAAATGCTTAGAACATATTACATGCAGAACATTGATAAAAAGAGGTCTCAAAGCTCAGAGAGTGAAAAGTTTCATAAAATGGTGTAAGACAACGCTGCGAAGGGTACAATAACCCCAAAAAAACATCTATATAAGAGAGATAATTTGACCTAGAGCTCCTAATACTTCCATTAAAATGTTCCTTAATTACCGAAATATATTCTAAGTACCTGGAAGCAACACGTATGTAAAAAATGACCTTTCACTCAATACAAATTACAGCACAATGTGGCGCTGCGACACACGTATTGAGGTGAATGTGATTGTAAAACAATGTGTGCATGTGTGCATAAGTGTGTATTTTATACTCAATCGCCAGGATTGAAGAGATGTGCTCAAGATTTATCCTAGGGACACTGAGATCCAAAACAACATATTTAACTGCCTCAAAGGAGCACAAATATTGTGAAATCAACGTTCCCTGAAAAACAAATTGTGTGGGTTATACCCCTAACGATAACAATCAGGAAGTTTTCGTTACCTTCTCTCACACCGGTGCGCGCTCCGCGTTTTTCATTCGTATACGAGGTTACGGTGGAGATCAATGCTGCATACCAGAAGCGATGTGTGAAAACTGACTATTTTGAGTTAGAGCGATTCCAAGCTTGCTTTTTTTTAAGGTGCCAAAGTCGAAATAAAGGCAAGTTTTAACATCAAAAGCTCTTTGTCCAGGTGCTCAGCATTTTGTGAAGCTCAGATAAAAGCATGGCCGCGAGGCTCGACACTGATTGGTTGACTGGTGGGTAGTGAGAGAGACGGGAGTTTGAGCGTATGGAAGACTCTAGAAAATGTCCACGTATATCAGCCCTGTTAGCTGTAGTGTCGCTTCATTCTAGGAACAACTCTAAAGTGTATACATGGTACGTATTAAACTATCTGGTAAAGAGCGCCGTGAACGTAGGCGTCTGACGTCTGAAAACCCAGACTGTTGTTAAAAGCTTGTGGCTCTAAAACGTTTCACGTGTGCAACACTATTGCCTAGAAATTTGCCTTAAACTTTTGAGTTACTGATATAAATCTCGAATATGATTGCACTTCTTTTTACAGCGATGTCTCGGTATTGGCATAGTGTCGCAGCGGATTCCGTGTGCGTGTGCGCTTGATGGACGCAAAATTTAGCTGGAAAATTTCTTCCCATAATGCGGGTAATCATTGTGGTGTCGAATTGTGAAGTCACAGTTTCCTGTGACGGCATGACGCATGGTATCACATGTTTCCCACTGTATTTAGCGGACTGGAGTGTCATCTAACGTCATGATGTAACGTGATGCCACAGCGTGAGGTCATGTCTTGGCGTCACGTGACTCTAACGTGTCACGTGTTGTAAGTTTGTTAAATTTAAAAGCAGCAGTATAAATATGGGCAGCAATGTGCTCTGCTTAGATGTTGTCTCAAGTAGATATTCAGATTGCGGCAAGAAACCGTAAATTTGTGTGAGAGTGAGGAAACTTTATGTTGTGACATATGTTTGCCTTCCTGACACTTACAACAGTGTTTTTGCTTGGTAGTTTAGTGTTCTCATAAACCGGATCAAGTAAGCCTTGTTTGAGCGTAGCACTGACCTGGTCCTCTTCTGAAGTACCACAGGCGAAAGGTGTCTCCTTTGTCGCCCACTGCGAACACGGGGCTGGCCAGATCTGCCTTTTCAGCCCCAGACGGAAGCGCTCCAGTGGAAACGGTGAGGTCAACGTAGGCAAACCTCTCCCAAGACTTGGGGTCGTCTGGAGGTTAAAAAAAATCACCAGGCTTATGCGAATTATAGTTCAGATCAGTATTTTTATTTATACTATATATACCAGTTGAGGTATTTAGGGGTGACAAGGATTCTTAATGCATGCATTTAAATTGAATAACTGTAAAAAGAAATGTCAGTTGTAAGAGGAGAATAAGTATAAGGCTAGATGGGCGAACGTATTTAAAAAAAACACTCTTACAAGTTACCATATATCCCACCAAAATATATGGACAGATATATGCGTAAAACCGCGAGACCCACTAGGAAATACTTAATAATTATAAGAAAGTGCATATGAAAATTTTGCATGGCTGGTAATTGCAACCGTGTCGTACTGAAAAAATAGTAATTGCATATCGTCTTCGGAAGGACTGTGCATTCAAAGGATTAAATCCGTCAAGTCTACTTAGAAAGGGTCATATATTGTTCAGTGCCATAGGAACGTAACGAGGATGGCTTCTATCAATCCAGCACTCGAGTATAAATGGTCGCTAGTAGGACGCTAACAATTAATAATTGTTTATTGCTTCTACACGGTTCATACGTCCACAGGCTGACTATTTAATTGTCTGGGAATTTGGCGTCTGCACGTAAGAAGTCTAAATTTCACCATGAGTGCACCGGACGACCGGGCTATTATTTAAAGAACCAGCTCTTAGTATTTCCGTGTTCTTAATGGTGACGTCACGCTGAAGGTGACATAGCGTTCACAACAGCTTGTGCCTTATCCCGGTGCTGAAAAGTTGAAGATTCCAAAGAAAAAAAAAACTCTCTGATTGTCGTTTTACGAGACATTGTGACGTCCCGTAAAAGCATGACGTCGCACGTCATTTTAACGTTTCTTTATATAAGGACGGCACTTAGCAATGCCACAAAACGTGACATCATGATGTCATATGAGAGGGTGACGTCATGTGCTATGCCCCAAGCATCACGTCACGTGGTCATATGACGTGAAGTAACATCATCGCATTCCAAAAAACTCACACGTGATATGCATCAGTGTTGCGGAGTTGCCACTCCGGAGTTGGAATGATTCCGGAATGATTCCGCATTTTCACGACCCCGGAATGGAATGGGAATGGAATGGCGGCAACGTTGAGGGGAATGGAATGGGAATGGAATTAGGTGCCTTTTGCCCGGAATGGAATGGGAATGGAATGGGCACGGTTCTTTTTTTTTAAATTTTATTATTATTATTATTATTATTATTATTATTATTATTTGTGTTTACGGTCAGCTAAACTGAACTAGTCAGCGAGTCAGTTGCTCAGAAATAAAATGAGCAGAAGACTTATACGAAAAAAAATGCAATATAAAAAACACGCGTCAAATCAAAGAGCAAAGGGGGAAAGGGGGGTAACGTGGCGCCTTTCACGGACGCGCAGGCGTCGGACTTCGATGGCGTTACACGAGAGTGAAACAAGAAACCAAGCATCAAGCAAAAGAAAGGGGAGTGGCAAAGAAAGAAACCGCTATGCGCAACTCCACATTGTACATCTTGTCATGTATTTTTTGGGGGGACGGTTTGTAGAATGCACGCAGGCGCACAGACTCAGATCTGGGAGCGGAAGCGACTCACAACTCGCAGAGCTTTGATAACTCGTTGACTCGGGCGCCGCCGAAAGATGATCAGGTATTGTTTTCTTATAGCTCGAGGAGCGTTGTTTAGCAGGCAGCCAACCCTGCTGCCTTCCAAGTTCATTCGTGTGCACTCCTCTGAAGTGCGAAACGCTTTCCTCCGAGGCTTGTTCTATTTATACTGCGTTTGTAGTGCAAGTCCGCCTTTTACTTGGTCTTTGTTCCGATGCTTGTTTTCTGTGTTACATGTTTTAGTGGGTTAGGTTTACAAGCAAGCTAGCGGATGCCCGCTCATTTCCTTTGACTTTAGTCTCTGCATACTTCGTTTCACCTTGCGATGGACTGCTGCGGACGCTACGAGTCACCCTAGGCAATCCAGCACCGCGAGCGGGACTGCAGGGTCACGCGACACTCAGAAGGCACTGCATTGGTTTCGATGACTCTCGTGCTGTCTGTTGAGGTCCATCGTAAGGTGAAGTAGACTATCGTCACCGCTCTTGGTGTGACCGAACTGACTAGACCTGCAGAAAGACTGTCCCGCGCCAGACGAGGCGCGATCGTTGCTGTGAGGGCAACTGAGAAGGAGAGCTGGGTGCTAGCTGCCACTGATGTTTTGGCTTCCGCGCGTCTCGGCTGTCCGGTCTGCATTCGTGGTCCTTGGCCTGGACCCTGTTTGAGGCGGTGAGAAGTCAGTTGGACGGTGTTGTTCAGGATACACGGGGAATGTCAATTTGAACGGTGCGGTATTACCCGTTAATTGTATCTTGATGTGAAGAGCTTTGTGAATGCTGACTGCCCGATCCGTCGCCACAACGCGAACAACCGACACCGAGGTAGAAAAATGAATCGGTTGGCACTGTCTGCTGCCTGACACCAACACTCGATCAGCGCGAAGAGGAACATCACAATTCGTACGAAAAGACAAGATAAATACAGATCGAGTCATGGCATCGTGGAAGACATTTTTCGACATTAGTCGTGAAAATGAACAAGCTGCACGCTGAAAGTTGTGCAATGAAACCATACACGGTGCAGTCGGCGTATATCATCGAACTTTATTCGCCACCTGAAGAGGGAACATGAAAATGAGTATGCGAAGGGTGGAAAAGGGCAGGCGAACAAGCCAAAAATTTTATTGAATATGATAAGAAATATCCAGATTCGTTAAGCAAGCGTGAACTTATGCGTTTTAAAACAGGTTTCATGACATGGTCTATCTCTATACAGTCCCTCGTGCTATGCCGCAGAGGTTGCATTTTGTCAGAGGATGTGTTCTTGCCGCTGTGCATGGAGTCGCTTCCGGCAGTGAACTAGCCGGGTTGCTGTATTTGAAGAATACAGTAATATAGCTGATTCCTGCGCAACACACGAACTGGATATTTTTATGGTCTTATCAAACACGCTGGCCGCGTATGTCCTAAAAGTCAAATGCAAAACAGTTAAAAAAAGAAAAGAAAATTAGTAGATTTAAGTTTTGCTGCTTGTTGCGAGCCACGTGTTCGCGAGACCGATGTCTTAAACAAGCATGAACATATCAAGGGGCTTTCTCGATGTTTGCAGTACATTGTAAATAAACACTTTGTGCCACCAGCGGTCCGCTTAGTAAAATCAGTACTTTTTTGAGGAATTTAGCATTTTTTTTACAATTGTCTCTGCATTTGATAATGTCAGCTTTATGCTGCTTATGCCGGCAACACAATGTAGTTGTCAAGTGCCAATTTTTACTTTTAGGAATTAAACGAATGGAATGGAACGATTCAGCCATTCCAGGAGTGGGAATGGGCCCAGCGTCCCATTCCTAGGAGTTGAAAGGAATTGAATTATCGAAAACTCTAATTCCCCGGAATGGAATTGGAATGGAATGGGGGTGCTCATTCCGCAACACTGATATGCATGTAGAGCCCCACTAAGAATAAACCATAAAACAGGTTATTTAGTGGAGTATTTTCCGTCCTGAAATTTTCAGGCTGATATTCCTTCTTGTAAGACGTTATAGACGAGAAAACTCGCCTTGGACGATGGTTGATGTGGATGTAGACGACCGAGTTGGAGAGGGTTGTGATGGTGGCGCCATCTTACGAAATACACCGCAAGCAAACAACGCACTCGGTCGAAAGTATGAAGTTAAAGGAATACTTTAACGAAATTTTAAATATACCCGCCGTGTTCAAAAATAGGTTGAATATTATCCACGATATTCGTAAACGACAATCGCACGTTAGTATATTGAGCCCGGTTGCTGTACTTTTTGTTATAAACGGCCCACTCTGTCAAGCGCTCAGAGAATAGCCAGCGGAGACCATATGACATCCAACACAATCGTGACGTAGTTCGTCTCGGGACGAGCAAAGCTATGGCGAGGCTGACGTCGAGAAGATGGCCTAGTCGTTCCAGCCGCAGAAGCGGCTGCTTTTTGTACGAATTTTGAGTGACAGGTTAATCTTCTATAATCTTGTAGAGGGACTTTAGCGACTTTTGGGTCACACAAAAGGGATTCTCGGTAAAAAGGGAGCTCCTCCTTCCCCTCGTCTCTTGTCGTAGTCGTCGTAGTATTACAGACGAGGCGTCAGCGACATCCACCAGGTGCTCTTTAATAATCGTTTAATTCGTTTTAAAATCTTTTTTTCGTGACTTTTTTAACACGATATTGGTGTGTTCAATGTGATAGTGCTCCTTTGAACACATATAGACGAAAGAATAAGCGCCGAAATTTCGTTGCAGTATCCCTTTAATATATTAACCTAGAAAGAAAGGTCCCATGCATTGGGACACCTTATTAATGGCGGGACATAAACGCGCACTTTGGCGGTTTCAGTCGGCGGTCCCGATGTGCCCATATCACTGGCGACGCCGTAATATGCGCATTAAAGCAGCAACCTATCACCTGTAAGGCTCTTCTAGCTGACTTTATAGGAAAACACCGAAATCGCGCACTGTAAAAAACTAAATAAGCTTGAGAAGCACTCGAGCAACTTCAACTTGTCACGGCATAATAAACACGCCTAACCATTCGTCTGCTTTCTTTCTCCGCTCTTCCCTCGCTCCCTTTTTCGTTCTTTCTCTTGGAACCGCCAATGTCTGCGCCCAAAGTTTGCCACGTCCTGCTCCCGTTTTGCTTCCCCTTGGTTGAAAGTAGACGACCTTATCGTCTGCTGGCTGGGCCCACCGGGAGATGGCGCCAAAGACAAGTGCCCTCGCTAACTCAGTCGTCAATATTTGAGGCTTTTTATGCTCTTTTGTAGTGACAGAACTGTAACTCCTCACAACCTTAGAGACCTGGGGCGTGATGAGCGTCTGCATACGGCTCCGCGGCCGATTAAAAAGCGACATTCGCCGATAACTACGACAAAGAACAAATCTCGAAGCAACAGTTACGAGCATAACCGCCGAATTCAGAAACCTCACTCAAACTACACTCAAACTGAAGGGCCCCTCCACTTCCTCGAGTAAGGCGCGAGGGCCGGCGCTGGCCAATCGCGAGGACGGATCCGCTGTCGCGATTGGCCAGCGCCGGCCCTCGCGCTTTCCTCGAGGAAGTGGAGGGGCCCTTCAGTTTGAGTGCAGTTTGAGTGAGGTTTCTGAATTCGGCGGTTACTCTTGCTTCGAGCCACGCAAGCCACGCCTTAAGTTTCTTAAGATGTCAGCGATTGTAGAACTTCTAAAAAAACGTTCACCGAGTTTTAATGGTTCACTTGGAAAACAGATTGAAACTGGAAAGTTTTCAAATCCCTTCCGCGAATTATATAAAAAATATTGGCCTCGACATTTACCATCAAAGTACAGATATGCTTGAAATAAATTCTAGGAAACTGGTGATGGACTTGGTGTGTCAAGTGACGCATATTTTCCCGCTAAATTTATCGGGGAAACAGAGTGGTTGTATGGGTCACGTCACGTCGGTTTCCCCCGCTAAATTTGGCGAGGAAACTGGATTGGTGCTTAGGTCCCAGGACGTAAATTTTTCCGCTAAATTTAGCATGTAACTGAATTGATATGTGAGTAACGTGACGTCAATTTCCCGCTAAATTTATTAGGGGAAACTGAATTTACGTTTTTGCCACAAGCCATAAATGTTCCCGCTATATTTAGCTGAGAAAGTGATTTGACGTATAGGTCACGTACCGTCAATTTCCACGAGGTGTGCAGGTCACGTGACGTCAGGTGACGTCACGTGCCTCCGCTTTCTTCGATAATTTCAAGGGAAAATGCACGGACAAGGGGACGGACTGATGAAAATCTTTTTGGGGGGTTTGGGGTAGAATTAAAAAGAATTTCATGCTTTAAAATAGTCGAAATATTCGGCTTAACGAACCGTAAAAGTAGAACGGAACAAGTGATGCATAACCGCGACAAAAGATATATCTACCACATTCGGAGCAGTATACGGTTTATACATCGACGTAATTCTGACATTATTTTTTTTTCTACTCTCTTATATGTATTGATCTACCCTATACTTTCATCCTATAACTAGCTGTCCTCTGAAAAGATTCGTAAGTGCACTATTCTTTAGAATTCACAAACATATGAGGAAACAGGCTTCTGATATTGTAATAAATTATATACACCGGAAAGAAAACACGAATCTTTCATGTGAAAATCATATATATTTTTAATGAGAAGATGTGTCAGTGTGATACGTCTACAATATTTCAAATCAAGAGCTCATAATGTTAATAAAAAATTCTATAAGCAAAAATTGAATCTATTATGGGATGTAAAATAAATTCAAAGTTAGATTATATTTTCTGTTATTATAACTCTAGTTAATATGGGTTCGAGTAGACGCACTGCGTTTACCGGAAATGATATGAAAACAATAATTAATTACGAAGGATTTTATATTATGTAGGTTTTGAGTGCATTTTGAACTTCAGAGTTTATCTGAGCAATACATTTTTATTTAGAACGCAGAAAACTAGTTTCGCGGCTTATTAATTCGCTAATTTCACGAAGCGTGCGCATCGAAAAATTTTCTCGGGCACAAAATTTTTTATAGTTTAAATTATATGTTACAATGGGGTGAAATATTCCTGAGGTTAATTTTTTTTTTTTTTTATTTTGCAATTTTTGAAATTTGTGAAAATGGTGTGCTCTCGAGAAAGCTCTTGCTTAGAGTGCTTCTATCTGTTCTTCAAAACAAGTCAAGACGTCATCACTCACATTTGGAGTATTCCACTGAAGGGCTCGGATATGGTGGCACTCTCGGAGGCAACTCTGGCTTTGCGACGCGTCCCGTGCCGACCAACCATTGGAGCCCTCCGAGAGTGAAGCCATTGACGTAGCCGCAAAAGTCCTCCGCGAAATCGCATTCATACAGGGGTTTGCAGGGCTCGGGGTCAAGTTGCACGTCATCGATACCAAGTGTATCTAAAGTATGGTCTTTGCTTGACATGATGATCGCCCGAAACACCACCTGAAATATTGAATTTATGTCTCTGTTCGGTTGCACGGTGAACAAAAGGACAAGGCAAAATGAGTGTGCAATTCAAGTATAACCTTTGTTTCGCTCATTCCCAGGGCGAATATGCTATATTGTAATATGCAGCCAAAGAAGCGCATAGTGTGGCGAGTTGCGAGAACCTTATTATCGCTCCCTGCAGCCAATCAGAATGCAGTATTAGACGACAAGAATGCCGCATAATGAATCACAAAGACTGGTGCGTGATCATAATGTGTTACTTAAGCTGTCAGTCCCTATGCAGGGTGTCCCAAGCGGACCTTCGGCTGTAAGACGAGCGAGGAAAATCTTCGCCCGCACATAGAGTGTGAAACTTTCACCGAGTGCGCAGTGAGCATGTCGGGTTTACCGTGTGAATTTAAAGGTGTTAAAATTCTAAAAATATTGTGCGCAAAAAAAAAAAAGCTTGCCAAAGTAAAGGTAGGGGGTGTTAGCAGGCGACTGAGTTAGCGACGCTATATACTCGTGGCGCCACCTCCTAATAGGCGCAGCGTGCAGGCAAGAGGGTGCGTCGTCTGCTCGCTGCACCTGTCGGAAGATGGCGCCACAAGTAAATAACGTCGCTAACTGGGGCGTGTACGAACACTGCCAACCTTGGGTTCGGAAATTTCTTTTTGGCTTTCATTTTTTTATAAAGAAAACTGCGCATTGTCATTTTCACGCGGTAAATCTGACCTGCATGCTGACTGGCACCTCGAGAAGAGCCCAGCGTGGCACTTCCGAAGCGTTCTACGCAGCCAAGGTGATTCCAGAAAAAAAAAAAAAAGTCAGGCAGGGAGTTTAACATCATAAGCCGCACCCTATATATCTCGAGCTACAAATGACTGTAATAAAAATACTGACAGCTCAAAGGCCGCTGGACGGGAATGTTACATTCACGCTTTGAGCTTCGGGAGTCGCTCTTTGGCGTTCGTACCGTCTAATTCCGCAATTTCGTCGGATTCGAGGTATGCTTCGTTTCTCCGTAAGTCTGAACGCAGTCACCGCTACGAGTGGATGGGGTCACCCAAGCAATACTAAATATGCAACGCCACGAAAATTAACGTCTTTCTTTGTGTGTCTTATCACCGGCTGAACGAATCAGGCTCAGCGAAAACGCCTTGACGCATTTTTAGAGAAAATGCTTGTGTTTCAGCTCTCAGGCGCCAATTTCCGGCTTGAGCGGCATCGGCCTCGGCCTCGGCCTCGGCGTAACCACGCGCGTTGGGTTATGCGAATAATGCAAGCGGGCATAACTGCGCGTTACATTATGGGAAAACGTCCTTACGAAATTTACAGGGAAAAGTTTCACTAAATGCTTCCGTTGAATTTAGCGGAAAAGGTTCCCCCAAAAGTTATCGAAAAAATATCCCTACTAAATTTAACGGAAAACTTTCTCTGCTAAATTTAGCGGAAAAACGTCTAAATTTAACGAAAAATTTTCCCGCTAATTTAAGAGGAAGCATTTCCCCGCAGAAATTAGGGGAAAATGTCCCTGCTAAGAAATTTTCGCTGAATTTAGCGGGAAATTTAGAGATAGTTTTCCGCTAAAAGGGACGGAAGCAGGAGAGGAGGAGGGGAGGTTACGGAGGGAGATGAGGGCTGTACACTCCCCTCCGTATCCTCCCCTCCTCCTCTTCAAGAGCTGCGCTCCAATTCGGCATTACACAGTAATGCCGAATTGGGATTACTCTGCAATGCCAATGCGTTATTACGTCACAGAGTAAATGTAATAAAGTAACTTATAAACGTAAACGTAACTCGTAACGTCTCAGAGTAAGCGTTACAAGTTAGAGAGTAAACGTCTTTTATTCTTTTTTTTTAATCGTTTGCTGAGTTCAGGCTGAAGTGGAAACAAAACTTGACCGCAGCACATGCCCTGTTATATGATGTGCGGAATGTGCTTATTAATGCGAAAGCATTAGCTGTCCCATGGAGTGAACCGGCGTTATCCGCTTTTGAAGCCGCGCCAAACGGCACCTAAATTATCCTGTCCCATGGAGCGACACCTGTTGTCTGTAGCAGATAAATTGATGGGAAACTCCCAATGGCTGGCGGGCGGAATAGTTCCAAGGAACGACACTCCACAGCGACGCCCACTTTATGGCGCAGCGGTGCGGCCGCCGTAAGTGGGAGAGGGTGGCCGGGCTCTGCAGATCGGACGGCCGCAGAGCCCGCCCGGACAGCCTACGCAGAGGTCACCCGGCCGGGCTCAGCGCGGCGCGCAGGATGTAGCAATATGCTGTTACGTATACCAATGCCTTCGCATTCCTACAGGGTAGCAGTCATATTTGTCTTCATTTTTACAGATTGTCTAGTCAAATCGGCGACACTTTTTTATATCCCCGCATAGTTGTCTCGCTCGCGTTTAATCTCCTTTATATTTTTGGTCGTTACCTTGAGTTTTTCCTGGGACACGATCGGCACTCGAGCGAGCATCCAATCGTCTTGCGGGTATGGTGGTTGCTCCCAAATAACACTGGACTCTTTGGCACCCGACACAGCGAGCTCCACGACGATTTTGCCAAGATTGGGTTTATCTCTTTTGTACCAGAACTTCAGGCACTGCGGTTCCAAGCGCCCTTGAAACCACGGACTCGTCACTGTAGAGCCGTTTCCTTCCTTATACGCCCGCAGCTCCAAGAAAGCGTCTGCAAATAAAGAAGAGAAACTCATCCGCTATGCACATCTGAAGATGTTGGTCACTTTTGTCAAAACCTCCAAATTGATAATGCATATCGCTTTCTTTTTTCCTTTAGTGATATCGAAAACTTCGTACGAAGGCCTTCTAACCTAGGAGGCGTTGCTTTTTCTCTAACGTGCTTCTAGATTTCGGCCAGTCTTGTTCTTTACTTATTAGGGTTAATATATATATATATATTTTTATTCGAAACCTATTCTTTTTAAAGCGTCCTTATTGATGCGTGAATGCCGCCCTCATTACATGTTTCTTGAGCTCGTCGGACATTCGAGGGACGAGCAACCGTCGCAGTCTGTTGAGTAATAAATAAAATTTAATTATTAACTGTTTTAATTAGGTTTATGGGCGTCGTTGCAATAGTATTTTTGAAGATAGCCGCCATGGAAGACTAGACCAACTTACAGAATTAAAAAGAAAGAAAAGAGAGCGGCTCTTTCGCAGTATCTAACAACAATGTCTCCCCTTTCTATCCTCCGTTTCCAAAACTGAAGTTCCAACTGGGTCGGAATCATTGACCACGTCACACACGTAGAAGTGACGGTTTCGTAACGTACGTACACGCTCTCATGTCTGCACTGCGGCTGTCTGGGTGTTGCTCGGGGTTTGCAAATTCGTTTGGACAGTCTTTAGTACTCTCATGTTTAATAGGCCATCACACTCGGAGCTTCGCTCGCAAGTCTTTGGCGGCGGGAGAGCCGCTTTGAAACATAGCTTAGGCGCACGAACGCCGGCTATGCCAGGTGTGTCAACAAAGAAAAATAACTTGGAGGACGCAGAAGCTTCGCCTTTAGGAGTAGAACGCGATAGCGTTATTAGGCCCCGTTCGCATCGCCTTGTGAATTACCGTGCAAGCGCGACATGCGTGGTGTTTTCAGCAGCGAGTCTCGCTCGCAACCAAAGGGTTGTAAGTTCGAATCCTGCCTAAAAGTCTTCAAAAACGTTTATTTAAAAAAAACACAGAAATTACAAAAAAAAAGATAACAAAAGAATTAATAGCCTGCGTGCGAGGCGCGTGAAAAAAAAAAAGAAAATACCACGCGAAAATAAAAAAGTTTTAGTGTGATATTTACGGCGCAAGACTCAAATTGGTAGGTAGTCACATCCTTTCCACCTCCTTTTTTTTTATATCTTGGCATTTTGGGCGCTCGGAGGAGAGAATCTGTGGCCATCACGTTGAGGTGGTGATGAGTATATGAAGATCTTTTTTAGGTGGAAGGAGTTCATGGTCATCTCATTACGTCATATACTTTGCGCGCGTAATTCAGACACAACTAAAATAAACCTCGCGCAGTCAAAATTGCTCTCGAACATTTTTTTTTGTCGCATAAAATTCATTCTCTGACCCGCATGGCCCAACCAGACTGTTAAAAAACACTTTTTTTTCTTCAGTGTAGCTAATGAATTACTTTATAAAGGAAAATTCTTTGAGATATGCGGCGGCCTTTAATTCGCATTACATTTAATGTTTCTAATAACTTTCATTTCATGGGTAACGTCACGTTACACGCAAGCGTTTTAGATTTTTTTTTTTTTTTTTAATTCTTGAACGTGGTCAGGTGGCGTGGACGTCATGACACTATGGATCAGTCAGGATTTCTGCTCCACGCCACCAACGCCGGCGTTTCAGCACGCCACCGATGCTGTGCGCCACGAGCTACATAACACTATCGCGTTAGTAAAGAAATAATACACTGCCTACGTAAATTTATATTATGATTATATGCCTACCTTCTTGAAATTAAGGCTAAAACTAATCTGTAATGGTGCCATGTGTAGGCTTGCAAGGAGTGCAGATATGAGATCATGACGATTTTTTTACATCACACCGTCAGCTTCTACAAACGTCACGTGGCCAGCGCTTCGGCTTACTTGAAACTTTCAATTTCCGAATCTGAGTTTAGAAAGGGGAGAAATGGTTGACGGATATCTGCGAACCTGTTGCTTATTTTTCAGATTGTGTAAGTTGGTCTAGCCTTCTCCGGCGACTGTCTTCAAAATTACAATTGGAACATGTCCCATAAAATCAATAATTAAAAATGTCATTGAAATTGTTACTTGATTGCGCATCAGAGTGTGACGCTTGTTAGTCCCTCGAATGTAGGCCGAGTTCAAGAAACATATCGTGAATTCGGCATTCCCGTAGCAGTAAAGACACTTTTTTACTATTCTTTTAATAAATGTTTACTTCCCTGTATATTAACTGAAGTTAATCTGGCTTTAATGCTTTTCGCGTTAACGTGGTATCTTACAAAGACTTTCTAAATTCAATATTTACACTGTAACTTAAATAAACTTCGCAACTACCATGTTCCCAATTATTCGGTTACTCGTAGGACTTTTCAGCGCGGTCTTGCGGGAAAGGAGTGGTAAAAATTGACGCACTTTCATTGTTCTGCGTTCCATAGATTTTATTTTCGATATTCGGGATAGGACCGTGACTGCGTGAAAAGGAACAAACTGTCGAACGCACATTTCTTGAAACAGGGGCCATAAATTTTCAATACTAAAATGCCCGATTTTCCTGAATGCAACTCAAGCCTTTTGCATTTGACTGTTTTCTATTAACGACTTTTGTAGTTATGTTCAGCAATTAAAAATAATTTTTCGAAGACTATGTTAATTTTATTTGTGTTTTGCACTCTACTCAACCACCTTTTAAATTTCAGCATTTCACGTGTAGCACGATTTTTTAGCAAACACTAGTTTTCCTTGTGTATGCAAATTTGGAGTCCCGGAAGCACAAAGAGGCTACGGTAAAACTAACTTGATTTTTTTGCCAGATTCTGGGTATCATGGTTCTAAATACTCAGACAAGGAGCAAAGTTAGGTCACGCGTGAGTTCTTCTGTTATCACCTTGACAGAGCGAGTGACACCATCAGAGGTCTACCACAAAAGACTGGTGTAATCGCTTTGAGTTAAGCTCGTGGTAAACTCATATCTTCAATACATTTAGGAAATATTACGCGCCTAAATCTTAACATATTATTCATAACTTTTTGATTAAAAAAAGCATTATGTTGATGAATTTCATATGTAATTATATTTATAAACCGTTTGGCTCTACAGACCGGATAACGGTACCGGGAAAAGAAATAGGCACGTGCGTCGAAATGCATAAGCGAACGTCTCTCTACCCCTTTGCCATGGTCGTGACTTTTTGAGGGTCTACGAGACCTAACCAGGGGATCTGGTTCAAGTGTAACAACTTGTTTGTACTGCAGAACCAATTGAATCAGAAATGTTAGGCTTAGACGCTTCGGCAAGGCAGAGCCTCTGTTACATGTGAAACACGATGATTCAATGTTTTCATTGTACTGCAGAATTGTTTTGATGTCTTGCAGCATACCAAAGGTCATTGAAAGAAAGGGGTTGCTCCATTTGTAGAACTTGCCTCTTGATAAATTCCGAACGGAAAAGACTTATATCACATTTTTGTGGTGTTTCTCTCTGATATTCTCAATGAAAAATAAATAAGACTCAATGACCATTACTTTCTTGTTTTCTTGATTGCTGCACATTTTATTGTTGATGGGATTTTCCTTTGATCTGTGGGTTTTAAATTACTTTTCTAAACGGTTTCAACTACTCGTTTTTCCGCTCGTTTTAGTCCAAATATTGGTCAATTTATTCAAAGAGCCATTCAATTTAATTTAAACGCCATTCAATTTATTCCCAGCGCCACCTCATTTAATCCCGCGGTCAGTCACATCAATCCACAATATATACTTTATTGTTTTATTGTCTTTGGTGGTGGTTTCCGCTTATACGTTTCATAAGTTAGAATAATCGTCTATACAACCGGACGCTGGGGGCTACTTATATTCTTATTACTATTTCGATCACTTGTTGTTTCTAGACGCAGGATTGACATGTTGATTACTCTTTTGGTTACCTCGAGTTATTAGTGGCACACTTGACTTTGCTTTAGATGAATTGAAGTTTTGTTTACACTTTATCATTACTTCGACTTATTGTTGATACAGTTCAGATGTTAAAAGTATGAATAAATTTTGAGATTACTATTTTATTACTTCTTGCTATTATTAAAAGGCTGAATTAAAATGCCTTAAAATTCTAATTACTTCGACCTATGAATTAATCAATTTGCATACAAAAAATTTGACAAACATATTTTTCATTACTCTTTTAATAACTTAGGGATATTATTGACAAAAATATAACTTCATGTAAGCTCATTCCATTTTATGATCACCTTTTGTTAAATAGCTATTATTGACACAAAAAACTTTATAGAAGGAAGCTTTTCGTTACTCAATCGATTACTTAGAATTATTATTAAGAAAGGCGAATTTATATAACTTCTGCTAAGAGTTTTATTACTCTTGATTACCCCTATTACACCTCACCCAATTGACTTTATATTAGCTCAATTAGATGAGTGGTTACTATTCGTTTTTGCACAATATATTAGTAACACAGTTCAGTTCATAGCATCATTATTGAGATCTTAATTACTTTGAGTAGCTATGACCTATTTTACTTTATAGTGGTCTAAGTGACCAATATAAAGCCCGAGCGACGACACATCAACCACCTTACTGTGAAATAATCAGTGTTGGGAGTCACCCGAACCCTTATCTTAAATAGTACAGAACGCTCTTCCGTTCCCCAGAAATGTTAAACAACTTCATGACAAAAAAACAAAACAAAAAACGATATGCCTCATGCTCCCAACATCCTACGTAAAGCTCGCAAGATCCCATTTTTGGAATCGCTCTTTGCACGTAGCAACAAAATGGTGGCTCTTTCAAAACTATTCAATAATAAAATATCGATACTCTAAGTGGCTTATTTTGTTGACTAACTTAAAAAGATGTAGGTAAATGCACAGGTTGTGAATGACTACAGACGACAACAAAAAAAACTTACTAGAATCGGGGGGTCCGGAGCGGGTGTGGGAGTTATAACCTCGCAGGAGGTTTGAATTGCGTCTCCAGCCGTTGCTGGTTCCTTCCAGGGTCCAATCGCAGGTGTCGTACTCGAAATCACACCAGCCTGTCAAGGAGGTTTGATCAGATAAAAATAGAATTGGTTAAAAGCCTTATTATAATCAGTATAATTATTTCGTCTTACATTTCATTTACTGCATTGCATATCCCAATAAAACATTACCAATCTAGCTTAAAAACGAAAAAAAAGCACAATAAAAAAATTTGTAAATGCATCAACCTATATTAGCAACAAGTATAATTTGCGCTCAACAATTCTCGGAAATACGTTTAAATCTGCAAACGACAAGAAAACACTCTATTTGAGCAACATTAAGCAATTACACCTAGTCAAGGTTAAAAATTAAAACATTCAAAAAAATTTTAATAATCATTATCGAACATGTAATGTGGAGCGTACCTGGGCATACATTATATACGCTGTTCTGTAATAGGACAGTTAATTTGGAGGTTTTAACAGGAAACAAAAAATCGTTAAATGTGTTACTGGATCCAAAATGGGCCCCACGCAGTCGGACTTTACAGCATTCAATTTCAAGTATGTCTGGACGCCTTTGTCGACCAACACCCTCGTTTCGTCAACTCAGTAGTGTAAAAAATAAATGTTCTCGATTTGCTTACCCAAACTGTCTGTTAGAAACTGACAAGCTCCGCTAGCAAACTCTACTGGGCCGATCGCCATCTCCGAAGCCTTGTTTCCATTACTGCCAATCATCAACTTAATCTATAAGAGAGATGTGAAACATCATCAGTTTGCTTATTTAATAGGCTCATGAACAGTATAATGCTTTGAGTATGATGCACAAAAACACCTCTGGAGTTGTTCATGCCCTCTCAGTGATGTCGCTCCATACTGTTCTTAGTGGGTCATGAAATTATCAAAATTGTGAAATTAACGAAAGAAAGTATGAATAATAGTCAAGACGGAGTTAATATACTAAACACAAAAATGTGGCATAAAACTCGGCAAATATTTTTTGGGGGTTACGCAATAAACATTGTTCGTTATTTTAAATGACGGCATAAATGATAGTACAGTCCCAAACGACATGATAAGGCCCTGGTGAGAGCGCGGCAGCAGAAACCTTAAATGCTATAAACGGAAGAGAGTTGAAGTATTATTAAGGCGATTACCTAAGCAAGCGACATTTTAGTGGCTGTTATATTTCCTTTTGTTAATCCCCAGTTCGTCGGCAATGAATTACTGACCACACGGGTAGTGAAAATGCTCGGAGAAGTACATTGAAAAAAAAAAATGAAAAAAGAGAACCTTTATGGGGTTTTACCTTGCGAAATTCTTTTCAAGCGCCCAAAGTTTGATCGCTCGACCTGCCGACCCAGTGAATTTGGCCACGGTTTATTTTGCCTGACAGCTGGTCAAGTGGGGAGTGATAACCAAATTTGAACAGCCCCTGAAGCATCGATAAAGGTTGAGCCTTTTTCCGATGGATGGCGGGGCACGCCTTTTGAGCCACTCTCTCGCCCGGGCTTACATTTTCCGCCACTGTACGGGCTGCGGCGACGAACTCACCGGAGAAAAGCTCCTCGCCAAACCATCTAATTTTGGGAAATGCTCACCGGCCTTTCGACGGCTGCTTAGAAAAGCTAATCTACGAATACGAGAAACGATCGTTCACTCAACTAAAATGCGTTCATGCAACTCAAGTATGTTTCAACGCACAAGCGCACGTGGTTCCTCCGCACGTTTGTAGCAAATTTGTGTTCAGGTATAGTTACACAAGGAAGACAAAATCATTAATTTTTACAGAGCGGCACTTGAAAGATAGCCGGGGGAAATATAAGCAGTGTCGTGTGGGCTACAGCTTGTAATTAGTTCCTGGATTGCGATGTATCCGATTACTTTACAACGTAGTGTATTCAGCCCTTCACGGCCAAATTTTCAATTTTCACGATTTCTTTAAGAACGTGCGCTTTTAATTCTAAGACATTCTGACTGGCAAATGAATAAATCCTGTAATTTTTCGTTATCCCGGCTAATATGTAACTATTCCAAGTGTCTCGGGAGTATAGTTGACATTAAAGCGGAACTATCTGGTTGCATCAGATCGTCCTTCTTTGAAGTGCCTAACACTTACGTTGGAGGTGACGGGAGCATAAATTGCACTGCTGCTTTTAAATAAAAACTGCCACCATGTGCAAAAATTAAATTCAAGGTAAGCTTATATCCGGGTGTGACGAAAGACTGCATAGCTTCTCCCCGGAAAGAAAGAAAGGTGAATGCGCCTTTTTTTTTTTTTTGACTATCAATTTGTTTTGATGGGATTTTCTCTGGGATATAGATTGCCTCCCAATCAACCTCTACCAAACATTGAAAAAAAAAAACAGAGCGGTTTGCGGGAGAGAAACTAACGCTTTGTTGTTGGGAAGCGTTTTACGAAAGTGCACCACTGTTTAGTGCTCGTAGCTATTCAATCCTCAAGACTAAATAAATATATTTATAATTATTCGTTTAGGGGCCGAGCTGCGAATAGCAAAGTTGTAGAGCGCATCGAGAAACACCGATCTAAGGTCTTTGCTACATGATATGCGCTGAGCACATTTTTTAGACAAAAGGAGGCCTGCCAAATAATTTAAAAAGAAAGACCCCGATACAACACACTTATGAGTCGTGCTTGCAGCGCTCTCAGTCGTGCTCCAAAGGAACCACTACCACCTTTTCACGGGTGCGTTGTCCGAGACAGGGCCTTGCGGCAGCAGGTGCTCGCAGCTGTCTTCGGGGCCTACACAAACACGAAGCCCTGTCTCGGACATGGCCCCAGTGGTGAGATGAAGCTAGTTCCTTCAGAGGACTTCTGGAAGCTCTGCAAGCTCGATGCGCGGGCGCGTTGTCACATGATATATTTTGTTTTATATTTCGCGTTTCTTTGTTTACGTTAATAAAAAGAAGCGCACAAAGCCTGTCACTTAGCAAACACCTTATATGGGTGTTTCTTAATGCGCTCTACAACATTGTAATTTAAACCTTGGCCATTAAACGAAGAATAAAATGTTAGTGTATATATGTTAATCCATAAATAACTAGACTCACTGAAAAATGGTGCACTTTGCTAAAACATTTTTGAACAACCTGCGTTGATTTCACTCCGGTAGAGCGCTTTTTTTAAGATTTGTGCAGGTTATTTGGGACATCCTGTATAAGTTATCACTTGTAGCCCACTCATATATATATTGAATTCTATAACAATATAAATTTCAATGCCGTGTGGCACGCATGCTAAGAAAACATTCAGGGTATGAATGCTTGTATTAGAATAAAAGTAAAACATCTTGTTACAGGCAAATTAACATAGTCTTCAACAGTATAAGAAAACACGTTCGGCAAGAGTTTGCTGAGTTCGTTTTGGTCAGGGGCACATCGAATGTGCCAATGAAATAAGCGAGCCTTTGTTTAGTTTTCTCCGAAAATGGAGTATATCTGGCAGAAATGGGCTTATCACGGCCGCATATAATGGCCTCGGCGAATGGGTCTTTCTTATTGTTAGAAAGCTTACATTAACAATAATTTTTGCAGACAGGTGTCACAGAATGAACGAAATGTACATCATTACCGTTCAATATTTAAACAAAAATATCTTAACAGTTTTATAGGAGTATATGTATACGCCTTGCATTATCAAAAATAACTTGAATTTATAATGTTCTTTAATTTTTATATAATTAAAAGCTAAAAAGATACGAGTTAAGGCCACTGAATACATAAAGTTTTGCATTTGAACAGACTTCTGGAAAAAAAGTAAGACTCTCGATTGATTAAGCTGTTGTGATGTGTAGCAATGAAAGAAGCACTTTAGCAAAAGTAATTTCCTATACATACACATTTGTTCACGTGGGCATTATGTTCCGGAGACAATAGAGTAGTTATAATTGTAATATAAAAATGACACACCAGCCAGAATATTTAAAAAGATAAAAACACTGCGCTCTGTGCATAGCAGGTGTGAGTCAAGGGTCATGTGTACACCTTGCAGTCACTGTTTTTTATGACTTTTTTAATGCTAGAAAAGGATGGATGGTCTAGTGGAACACTATTGCGCTCAATCACGCTATCCTTTTTTTTTCTCCTTTCAAATTGTATCCTTCAATAGACTGCAACCACATGTTCACTGCATTTACTCGAGTAATTGCCGCGCATCTTTTAAAAATGGCTTCTTTCGTCTACTTTCTTGCAAAACTCACATACAGCCAATCATCGCAGCCTGCATAAAAAGCGCTGCGAATAACGAGGTCGAGAGAACGACTCCCCGTAAATTCGCGATCTTAGCGATAGCATTTCCCATGAAGGCGTAATGTCTGCCCCGTAAATCGCTGTCATTTTTCTGCCGATCGCCACAATTCGTTATTCTCGTGCTCGGTGAGAAAGTACAACCACAGGCTTTTTCATAAACAGCGCGTCTGTTGCTCTAGCAACTTCGGAACAATTGCATCACTTCACGATAAAAAAAAATCGTAATTTTCGCGATGTTTACACTCGCTGAGAGCATAACAAACACAGCACGTTCTCTATAGGACTGGTAAAAGCAAATGAGTTGGATATGAATACTTAAATTCGAAAGAACAAAACGCGAAGGACAAGCACAGAACACCTTCTCTTAGTTGGGATCTCGCTCAGGCAGGAATTTCGGCGCCCAAAGTAAACGTTTTTGATAAATGACAGAGGGTGTCCTTTGTTTCTCCTACGTGTTTTATTATTTCCATCTTAGGTAAGGACGTGCCCTACTATGATCATGCTTCTTGAATCAATCGTTCCTCGTCACCGTTTTTATCGGTTCATGAGGCAATCCAAATGGTTTCGGAGGAAAGATAAGGGGCCCAGGATTCCCCGCGGCCCGTCTTTCTTAAGTTTCAGATAACACTAATCAGCACCAAAATCTCCCCCCCTCAAAAAAAAAAAAAACGCGACGGGGTTATGTTTACGTTCTGTGCTTTCTTATTGGCTGCAAGGCCATTATAAGTTTCTCGCGATCCGCCAAGCCCTGTTTTCTTAAGCTCTCTTTGACCGTAGAAATATCTCGAGAAATCATGCAGCGGTTAAGGGAAATGCTCACCGTGTTGAACTCGGCATTCATATTCAGATTTCGCTGCACCGTGAACCAGCGGTCGACGGTAGTTCGGCCAGCGTGGAAGATGAAGGATTGATAAACTACCCTGCGGTGACCCTCCTCGGCCTTATCTTCATTCATCAAGGACACTCGCATGACGGTTCCCAGCGCGCCGAACAAGTGGTATCGGAACGTGGCGCAAACAGGTTGCGTCTGCCTGGGGACCTTCGGGGACGTCAGTAGCAGAGGGCCATGGTTCTTGGCGATCATTGCACCAGTTGCGAAGATGAAGGTACCTGTTGGAGGAACGTAAAATTGAGATAAATATCTGCTCTTACCTTTCGACACATAAAGACAAAGATTTTTTCTGTTTCTACTTTTTTTAAGTTCGAGAAACTCTATCGTCCTCGAATGGCAGCCATGAAACCTCTCGCCGTCTGGGCATTGATATAATAAAAGAGTGCAGAAGCTCATATACCTAGCAAACAATAGTGCACAGGCTATACTGCGCCTGTGACTGGCCTAGTCGTAAGTAGCGAACAAGGAGGAACGCCGAGGGGTATGACAACGCACTTTTGACGCGGCTTGATTGCCTTAATTGAATCAGAATTGGTGAGGGAAAGGAATCAACTCTCTTACGTCACGCCACTGCGGTCGCACTTTTGTCGGCACTGCGTATAAGCAAATCCATTACTCCCCCCCCCCCCCCCCCCCCCCCGGATTTGATTTCTGCGCACACGTCCGCACCTGTTGCAAGCAATACAGGTCGTTTTTTTTTTTGTTTTGTATTTTGTAAACAGTGTGTTTGTGTACAGAGAGTGCTTGGTACAGGGGCATATTCAGGTGCTTCTCCACCTGCTCAGATATTGCTAGACTATGAATATGCTTAACTTGGGTTTCCGAGGCAGTTCAGGAAATTCGGGAGCTCGAGGAACCCGTGAGGGTATACTGGGGTAGGACGCCTGGGTCCATCGGAAGCCAGTTTGAGAGCCTATACGCTCAAAGAAATATGGCGCGACTACTTTATCGCTAACGACTGCGAAGAGCCGATGGCTGCAATCTGGAGCCCGGCCAAGGACGAGGTTCATCGTATGCTTAGACCTAAGAAGTACCGACTACGCCTCGACGCACCGAACTTGGTGAAACGCCACGCTAAGGGTAACACTGCACACTTCGTTTCGTGCTTAGTGTGCAACGCTACCAAAGCTGGTGGCGCGAGCATGGGGCTTAGTCTCCTTGATCATTCGCACGCGTTCTCGCCCAAATAAAACCATAGATGAAGCCACGCGCTCGTGCAAGTAGCATTGACAGCCTTGTATATTAAGTGTGAATCGGAGTATAGACATTGTTTAAGAATCTAAACATATTTTTAGCCTCGTCATTCACCGAAATCTTTCTATAAATCGAAGCGATTGGCTCTCGTAACTTTTTTGCAGGCAAGTGTAGATGCTGGAGATTCCTTAGAATGCACAAACTCCAGTGTCTGTACTTTCCCTCGAAAGCACCTGGAAGAGTTGATTGCTAGTCTATGAATGGGGTGAACCCAAAAAGAGATGTTCAGCTTCGCCACCTAAAAAAAGAACCGTACGCTCTCTGGCACTGAGCATCATTAGTCACATGCTTGCGTAAAACAAAATGTCAAAACGCAAAGCTTTTTTTGTTTTTTTTACGCTTATAGATTTTTTTAGAGCAAGCCCAAGCACAGCCATGGTCACGATCCAACGGAACTAATCAAACCGAACCAAAAGTTGATCGTAATGACGTTATCTTTGTGCGTTTAGGTTAGGTTAGGTGGCGTTAACGATCAGCTAAATCAATCGCGCTGAGTGAGCACAGCGTGGTCCTACGCACTTCTTGGCGCACGATTGCTTTAACCCTTGATAGCAAACGCATAAATGCGACAATCGAGGAGGAAGCACTTTTAGAGTTGCGTGATTCGGTTCATCGAGTTGTAGCGTTTTAGCCGCGGTCGCACTTAATCCGCTCAGGGGATAATAGACCTTTCCTGCCCTTATCACCCGGGCACAAAAATGCTGAGTCACTGAGCTGTGCACGCATGCGCGGGGTCCGGTATACCGCACAACAGAGATCCAGTGCATGTTTGGAAGGTTTTTTTCAAGGTCCAGTAGAAAAAGATGGAAGCGAGCAGAGGGCGATTTTTTTTTCTCTTTTAATGGCCTTATGGACCTTTTGAGTAATCGCCTTTTTCCGCGCTGGCATCTTCGTCTGCTTGGTTGTGGCACGGCTTCTGAACATGCCCAGTGATTTTCCAGCTCCACCTGTATGTTTGTAATGGCCAACATTCTCGCGTGCCTTACGGGAATCTACGTAGGAGCGAAATATTTATCAAAATGATTAAAAATCATTTACTTTTCCAAAGCGTACCACTCACATTTGTTAAAACACATTCAAGCGATGGGTGAATTGTATTTTTGTAAAAACTAATGAATGGGCCTCAGTGCAGCTAAATCGCTGTAGTTTTGCAATCGTAAAACAACGAAAGAAGTAGTTAACAGTTCCGAAAATGCAATAAGTTGAAACCCAGTTAACGTGAAACTCCCTAGTGAAAAAGCCATTTGTATCAGAAATTGATTGTGTCCAATAGCACATAAGAATCAAACAAGATGTACAATAACATATAAGAACTATATAGAACTATAGAATAAGAATATATAAGAACCATGTAACAAACTCATAACAAGTTATCATATGATCCATATATGTTCTTATGTATATATTATAGTTCTTATATAGTTAATATGCGGCTCTTATATGGTCTTATATATATTTTCGGATTCATAGTGTTTATTGGACACAGAAATTTCTCATACTAATGAGATTTTTCAATGGGCCGGTTCTGTATACAAAAACTATATGAGAATACGCCAAATCACTTCAAAGTCCACATAGTGCAGAAATTATTGTTTTACGAATATGCATGTCTAACAACGTGCAAGGAGCAACACCTTGCACGTTATTAGTTCTCATTTAACGCTCGGTGTGTTAGAAGAAAAATACATTCAAAGTAATGTGATAAAAAAAGAAACCTGCTTTTATATGCAAAAGTGTTCTGTTATGTACCTCTTTTTTCAGTGACATTTTCTGTTCTCGGCGACGTTATCAAATATGAAGCATTGAAAACCGGATAAATTACACGCACATTAAATAAAATCTAAAACATAAAAATGTATATATATGTATCTATATATATATATATATATATATATATATATATATATATATATATATATATATATATATATATATATATATATATATTATATATATATATATATATATATACTATATATATATATATATATATATATATATATACTATATATAGTATATATATATATAGTATATATATATATATATATATATATATATATATATATATATATATAATATATTATATATATATATAG